CCAGACAAATCTCTGGACGATACGATTGACATGGCTTGTCTCGCAGGCTCCTATCATTACCTTCTTGCCAGGCATCGAGTGACATCTTGTACACAGTTATAAAATACAAAACCCGGCCTTTTTAGGTGCGTTGTCATCCATTCCACCATGGGAACGTCGCCCACATGTAGACCAGAGTACGGTCTGTGGCAATTGCAGTGTAGACAAAGCATAAACCTTGTTGCCCATAATTCATATTCTCTGTGCAGCCTTCACATTGTTCGTGGATACAGCTCCGATCAACCCTAGTCCTACCCTAACCTCTTGGCACGCAAAGTGGTATAAGCCATCACATTCTTATTGTATCTTCACGCCAACGAGGCTACGCAAGACCCAGTGTGACGACGAGTGCGATGAGCGCGGCGACACCGTTGGTGCCGGCCGCGTGACTGGCCGTCGTGACGCTGGTCGTCGAATTGCGCTTTGTTGTCGATGGCGCCACAATCACATCGTCATCTGCCGTCGCATTGGCGCCGAAGACGAGCAACGACGATGAATCATTCGCGTGGGACGGCAATGGCTCCGCAGTTGTCGCGTTGAGAGATACGACCGTCGAGTGGTTGCCGGCCGACGTGGTCCGCACAAGCGCAAAGCGACCGGTCGCGTTCGGGGGCAGGCGACTCGAGTTATTGTGCCGCAGCACTGGCAGAGGACTGGGGACTGTCGTTGCATCGCGCACCTGCGTGCGGTTGCGCGGACCGTCGACGTTGAGAGTCGTCGCATTGGCGAGTGCCAGCGTCGCATCCAGCAGCGCTGGTCCGAGCACGAGGCAAGCAAGCTTCATGTTGGCGGTATGCAGACAAGTGGAAAATGACTTGATCGTGTTACGTTCAGCGGTGTTGTAAAGGCATCTCGTGCGCTTTTGTACCGGTAGGTACGTAAAAGGCTGCGTCGCTTGGTAACCCTAGCCTCGTAAGTTACAAGGGCTCGGGTTGGACGCTGGACGTTTGGCGACAGGTGTACAGCGTGGTTTGGCGTGGATACGTCTCCATTTTTATGAAAACAAGGCCAAGGCCCAGAAGAGACACGGGATATATGGTTTTCATTCGTGGACGATACAAAGAGCAACTCGACGAGGAGGTATCTTTTAAACGACGACCACATGCTCGGTGTGAAGGCGTCCTCAGTGGCTCGCCGTTGCGCTGTTGCCGTCTACGACGCGAATGACGTGAGCTCGTCACAGCCGCAACTTTGTACCTGTCTCGTCGTCCTCTTGCCTCAACTCGAGTGTCGAGAGCGTCCGGATCAAGAGGCTCTTCTCCTCGACAAACTGCTCGTCCTCTACGGTTCGTGATGTTGATACATCGATAGGCTTCACAAGTTGTATACCTTTTTCGTTTTGAAATTTCTCCAAGTAGGCAATGAGCTTGTCCTTGTTGGTCAAGAGAATTTGCGTAATCTCGTTGGGCTTCTTCGGGTTGGCCACAAACACCTTGAAGACGTGGAAGGCCTCAAACTGGATGTTGACGCTCGTGTCCCGAAGCAGATTCATCATCATCTTGAGGTTCTCGCGCTTGCTACACACGACAAGATTGTCATGTCTAGTCTTTTGACTGTAATTCTATACCAAATGTAGCGCATCATCACGTCAAAGTTGGACCGGTCCAGGAGGATTTCGCCCAAAAGCTATGACAGGATAACTTCGGAGTCGGGGTCTTACGGCACAGTAGTACCTTGAGCGACTGGCGCCGGGTGACATAGTTCTCCGACGACAGCAGCTTGTTGTACTTTTCAAACACCTAGCCCAAATGTTATAAACTATAGACAAACAAAAGCTGCAAACCATGTCAAAGTGCGAGTCAAAGAACTGCGAGACGAGCGGCTTGTGGCGCGTAAGGAGGTCCTTGAACGTCGCAAAGGCGTCCGACCCGACGTCAAAGTTGGGCAAGTGCACGTAGACGTCGAAAAACTAGGAACAATGAGCTATAGACTGATGACATAACAGTACCTTCCAGAGGTCGGGCGAGTGCAAGATTTGCTTGGCCAGCACCTCGTGCCGGATCGACTAACCGACTTTATGAGAGGCTACCTCTTATCGTGCAACGTACCTCGCGGAGCATCGTGCCGCAGTTGAGCGCAATCTCCGAGTGCTCGTAGCCGCGCACCAAGGCTGAGATGATCTGTGGCTGGCGCTCGACGTACGCGACAAAGCCGCCCAAGTCCCGCCGCATCAGGTTGTTGTAGATCTGCGCCACGTGCTTGCGCGCCTATCGTACCATGCATGCGTCAATGGTGCGAGCTACAAGGACGGTGCGCAGTGTACCTCGAACGGCAGCTTCTCCAGGTTCAATACGAGCCGCGGGATCATGTTGTCGGCGATGAGCAGCATGGACATTTGCGCACACTTTTGCGGGTTCGACTCTTGCTCGCCCTACATATATGCATGATAGCACGAGGCGACGCGGTAGCCGTCGGTGTACATCGCCGTAGAGCAGCAGCTTGATCTGGTTGAGCCGCTTGGTGACAATGTCGACGACCTATCGACGCCGTGAGCATCCAATTCGCGGACGATGGCGTACCTTGCCGCTCTTGTCGGGCTTGACAGGCGTGTTCGGGTTCTCGAGCGCCTCCTTGATGAGCTTGCTGAGCTGCTCCGGGTTCTTCTTGCGCTGGAAGAGCTTGTCCATGCTCCTCGTCGGTTGTCGTTTAAGCCCCAGGACCCAAAATTTGGGATATACCCACCTAAGTACGATTGACCGTCTTTACCACCCGACTCCATGATAGAGGGCGCTCTCTGGCAACGGCAGCACCTCGTTAAGTGCGGATCATTACCAACGGGCCATCAGCGGCAACAACACCACGGGGCGCGGTCCGAGGCGAGCGCGCGGCCATGACGCACCGATGCGGCCAGCGTACGGTCGTGGCCTCTGCCCAGCGACATGCTGGTTGCATAGACGTCAAGCGCTAGACTATGCACGAAGTTCCCGACGGCGAGGGTTGGCTTCAACAATGGCATCGCACAGGCTACTCCACATCGCCATCTTTACTACCTCAAGATTGTCCGACAAGAAGCTACACTTTGGAGCATCCTTGGTGCACAAGATATAATGTTGTCGTTGGGTATACAATCGCCACGCCACGGCCTAGCGTCTGTCTTGACCTGAATAACGGAGTTAACAGCTCGCACAGCATGTCATTGACACGGTGATAACATCATCTACACAGTACGGCAAGCCGAGCTCCAGTGCACTACAAGCATCGTAGAGCTCTAGCAATGGCACGAGGGTGCGTTGACGCATGACCGCACCAAGCAACGTTGCCCATGCATAATCGCGTGTCTTCTCACGCTACCGTCTCAGATCGGTTTCGACCCCAGTGGAAGGCCGTTTTGGACACGAAGACGAGCATGGACCGCTACGTGGTCGAGAAAGTCATCGGCGAAGGCACGTACGGCGTCGTGTACAAGGCCATCGAGAAGGTACACGCTCCGTCCGTTGCAGGAATGTCCTAACTCGCAGTCTGCAGTCGACGAAGGAGCAAGTCGCCATCAAAAAGTTCAAGTTCCTCGGCGGCACGACCCTTTCGGCATCGCAAACGACACTACTCATCTGCTGTAGACGACAACCTCTCCAAGCGCGAGCTCCAAGCATGCTCGATGCTCAACCACCCAAACATCGTCACGTTTCGCTACAGCTTTCGCGGCGATGGCTACTTGCACTTGGTGTTTGACTTTGCGCCGTCGACATTGGCCAAGGTCCGGACTTCGATCCCTGGAAAAATCGGAAATTCATGGCATTTTATGCAGCTCGTGGCCAAAAACAGGACAGGACTGCGGCCCGCCCACGCGCGCGCCATTGCTTTTCAGCTCACAAAGGCGCTGCACTGTTGCCATGCCAACCACATCATTCACCGCGGTTTATCCCAAGCGCCTACTCGATCGACTTGACAAGTCCGCGTAGATATCAAGCCCGAGAACGTCCTTCTGGACGCCAACGGCAACGTCAAGTTGTGCGATTTTGGTAGCGAGATTCGTCCGTGCCTTGCACGACGACGGCTGCGTAGGTGTCGCCCGCGCCATTCAATTCGAAGGCGAGGCCTTGTCCGACTACGTCGCGACGCGCTGGTACCGCCCGCCCGAGCAAGAACTCCGGTTTGTAGTGTCGAAAGTACAAATGTATTCCTACATTTTGGTTTCGTAGCTGCACCAACTACTCGTACAACGCCGACATTTGGAGTCTCGGGTGCGTCATTGCCGAGCTGTTCACGGGCAAACCTCTCTTTCGTGGTGAAAGCCAGCTCGATCAGCTGTACGGTTTTCATTTCGATCGCACATGATTCATATGCACCTGCAGGCGCCTCATTCAAGAAATGCTGGGACCGCTCCCGCCGTCGCTCGCGGCCAAGCAGCCGAAAGGCGTCAGCGTCAGCAAGGCGACGTACCCCACGACGTCGCTTCGACGGGCGTTCAGCGAGACGATTCCGTTTCCCGAAGTGCTTGATTTTCTCGAGCGCACTGTGTCGCTGGACCCGAAGAAGCGACTCTCCGCCCGCGACGCACTCGACCACGTGCTCTTTGCCAAGTTGCGGCAAGAAGACCTCGTAGCGGAGGCCCAGAAGAAGCGTCGCCAGCGCCACCATGACGACATTGAAGAGGAGATTGACGGCGTGCGCACCGAGTCGGAAGGCGACGACCTCGACGGCTCGGGCCCGACGCTCGACGATATGAAGTGCGACGACGAGGCCAAGAGCATGCGGTCCATGGCCAAGGACGTTGGACCGCGCATTGTGGCGCCGCTACGCAAGAGCCTCGGCGTCAAGGACGACGATATCCAAGAGATCATCGAGAGCGACGGCCACGACAACAACACGATCGCGCGAAGGCGTCTCTCGATCCACAGCAGCATCGCGAGCGAGCACAGCATCTACGACGATGACTTTGAAGACTACGAGAGCGAGAGCAAGCGATAAAACCACTCCATGGATGCGTACTTGTACCAATGCTATGACGAGTGGACTCTTGATGACAGACACGAGTCGACGCCCAATACCATGTTGTTCCCTGCAGATAGTAGACCAAATGCCACTTGACCATCGACAGAAGGGAACAGAGCGCAGTCGGTGGCAAGCGGTGGGGACAGCAGCGACCTCAACAGCGCCAACGAGCGTCCGAGCCGCAATAAGATCTCAATTGCTGGATTCCCATTGGCTGAAAATGGCTTGCAATGATTGGTCCGTCATTATTTGCAACATGAGTGACATGGAGTACGAGGGCTACGACTATGACGACGAGGTCGAAGAGGTCGAGGAGATGGTCGATGACGTGCCCATGTTCATCGCCGACCGCGTCTACCTCGGCTCGATCGATGCGGCGGCGAATGCATATGCGCTGCGCGCCAAGAACATTGGCTTTGTCCTCTCGCTGCTCCAGCCCGAAGACGTCCTCGCGGCGCCGAGCTGCGCGCACCTTCGCATCGCGATGGACGACGCTCTTGACGAGCCGCTATTGATCAAGCTACCGTACTTGCTCTACACGCTGGACCAAGCCTTGGCAACGACCGACGCCAATGTCCTCGTGCACTGGTACGTCATGGCCTTCCCGCCGCACTCTCATGCCTGTCGATACTAGCGTTGCGGGTCGGTCACGGTCGGCGTCCGTCGTCATTGCGTGGCTCATGGCCACGCAAGACCTCTCGCTCCACGATGCGTACCAACGCGTACGGTGCGCTCCCTCTCCTCGCTCCTGGGTTGACTCACGCCATCGCCCTAGCATGAGCCGTCCGTGGATCGAGCCAAATGACACCTTTCTCAAGCACTTGGCGCTCTTTGAGAAGACGCGCTGCGTGCCCATGAGCGCCAGCACGCGCTGTGCGATCGAGGAACTCACGCCCGTCCTACCCCGCATCGACTTTCACCCGTCGTTTGAGCGTCCGATCACGTCCCATGCAAAGATCATGACGATCCGCCTCGCAAGCGACGTCGACACCGACGTCAACTCGGACCTGCAGTACATTTACCCCCGCGCGGTCGCCCAAGCAACCACGACGTCGTCGTCGTCACCGTTTGCGTTCCTCCAGATCACGGACGTGGCGTTCGTCACGGTGCGCGACCTCACAGACGACCACGCGCAGCACGAAGGCTTGGCCTCGCGCGCCGACTTGCTGGCAACCCTTCGGCGCTTCTACCCCGACATGCACGATGCGTCGGCGTGTATTGTCATCTCGTTTGCCGCGTGCTAGTCGATACCTCATACTAGTAGTACCCAATACAAGGTTCCGAAGGTCGTCACTCAGGCGCTGGATACATCCGTATAGCTACAGGAACCTTTGACTACGGCGCCAGCGCGTGCTGGAGCATCGCGCGGCCGTGACGTGCGAGCTGATCGCGGTCCGAGATCGACCGACGTGACGCTTTTCGTGGCGACTTGGCCGCTGCGTCGGCGCTCGCAAAGTGCAGCAGCGGCGGTGTTGGTCGCACGGGCGCCGAGAAGTGTGCAAAGTCGGCCCAGTCCGCTGCACTGGACGTGACTTGGCGACTGGAGGACGTCGAGAGCGTCGAGGCCTGCGTCGAGGACGACGTTGGCGGACTGGACGCGTTGAGCTAGTTCCATATGCATATATAGTGCCACTGGGCATCGGTCTACCTTGCCGAGGCGCGTTAGAATATGGTCGAGCGTCGGCCGCGCGTCCGGGGACACTTGGAGCATGTCTTGAAGGAGCAGGTTGAAGCCTGGCGAGTACGTAGGCGACGGTGGGAACCGAAGACTGCCGTTGCGGATCGCGAGGACCTTGATGCCTTCGGTCGCCGACTCGAACGGGCCAAAGGGCCCGTACGCCATGGCATACAAGACGCACCCGAGGCTCCAGACGTCCGTGGCCGCCGTGAGGTCGCCTCGAAAGCAGTCGTCGTAGAGCTCTATCCCTCCCATAAGACGACCGTACCAGCATGATGGAAGGACCGGGTGCGCGAAAGGCGCCGCTGGAAAACTGCGCGGCCGTCTCGACCATCGCGAGCGCATCGTGCTGCGACGTCACGCGCGTCGTCAAGGGCGCGACAGACCCGAGGTCCATGACCACTGGCGTATTGGCATCGTCGAGGAGGATGTTGGCGGGCTTGAGGTCCCGATGGGCGAGTCCGAGCTGGTGGATCTCCAGGACACCACGGACGATCCCTTCAAAGAGGCGAACGCACTCGTCTTGCGTGAACGCAGGCGCCTCTATGCTCATGTGAGCGACGGCAAGCGGCGAGGCTTGGTACTCTGCGTGGCGGCGTCGTTCAAGACGTCTTGGATCGACCCGCGGGCAAGGACGGGGAAGAGCAGAAGCACCTCCTTCGTCCGCCCCAGCGCGTTCTCGACATCGGACCGCTGGCCATGGCGCTTCATGCGGATCTCCGACTCGAGGAGTGGGAGCACATTCGGGTGGGCGAGGCGCCGATGCAGCTGGATCTCGAGCAGCGCGCGCTGCAGCTGGTCGTCCTCGACGCACGCCATGACCTTGAGCGCGTAGCGCTGCTTCCTGCCATGGCGATGGCCCTCGACAAGGTAGACCTCGGAGAAGCCGCCGCTGCCGAGCTTCCCGCAGACCTCGTACCCGCGGCCGTTGAGCTTGACCGACTTGGTGTTGCCCATGCTAGCGATCTTTCACCTCTAGCGTGCCCCGGGGTGCAAAATGGCGTGCAAATAGCCGCTCGCTACGTCGCATCCAAAACAGATGGATGAAAACACGCAAGATCAACTTGTTCTCTCGGCCGAGCACTGACGACCATGCTGCCAGCGCGGACCAAGGAGCTCGCGGCCGTCCTCGAGAAGGCCATGCGCGCGTCCTCGGGCTTGAAGACGCTCCGGGCGTCGGCCTCGGCGTCGCCCTTCCAGGCGCTCGTCCATGACTACTACCTCCCCATCTTCGCGTGGGCTGAGTCGCAGTACGACTGCCTCAACCCGCCGGCCGCGACGACCAAGACCTGCCTCGTGCTTGGCCTTAGCTGCGTGCAGGTACGCGCTCGCTTCCATCGCGTATGCTCATGGATCTTCCAGGGCGGGGGCAAGACGACCATGACGTCGTACTTGGAGCTGCTCTTCAAGGCCACAGGAAAGAACTGCGCGGTGCTCTCGATCGATGATGTCTATTACACGCGGGACGGGCAGCGCCGCGTCGCCGAAGCGCACCCTGGCAACCCCCTCCTCGAGGTAGATGAAGGACCGTCGAGGATGGAGACTTATGCATCCTGGGCAGTTCCGCGGCAACCCGGGGACGCACGATGTGGACCTCTTGCTCGACATCATCGCGCAAGCCAAGCAAGGCGCCGACGTCGTCGTACCCCGCTACGACAAGTCGGCCTTTGAAGGCCGTGGCGACCGTGCGCCGCAAGACGCGTGGCAGCACCATACAGGTGCCCACCGATGCTTCGATGTGACCTGCCATGGAGACATGCCTGCTGCATAGGTCCTCTCGACGTGCTCGTGATCGAAGGCTGGTGCTTGGGCTTTGAAGCCTCCAACCTCCCCTTGTACGTATCGCAGCTCCATGCAGCTCGGGTATATCTTCATCGACGACGTAGGAGCCACCGCCACTTGGGGCCGGTCAACGAAGCTCTCAAAGATTTCGACCGCATCTACGCCGAGCTCGCCGCAATGCTCGTCATCCAAGTGCCCGATGCGCACTGCGTTTACACGTACATTGCCTTGAGTACCTCACCTCTCCTCATGCAGCACATCTAGGTGGCGCGAGGAAGCCGAGGCCGACATGCGTACCCAAGGCAAGCCCGGCATGACGTCGGCCCAAGTCGCCGACTTTGTGGATCGCTTCATGCCCGCGTACGATGCGTACTTGCAACGGTTTTACGCAGCGATGAACACAAGCCGGGACGGACGCGGGTTGGCGCAGAAGCCGCGCCTCGTCGCACGCATCGACCGCCAGCGGACGTGCGTCGCCGTGCAGACATACGCCGGAGGCGTGGTGACGCCAACGGGCTCGTCGTAGCTCGTATCCGGTCGAGCCGTTGGCCCGCTTTTCGTGGTCGCACCAACGTGCTGTCGTTCGCCAACGGGCTAACGTGCTGTCGTACGCCAACGGGCTAACGTGCTGTCGTACGCCAACGGGCTAACGTGCTGTCGTACGCCAACGGGCACATGTCTTGTCATACTACTAGTACGTGAATCACTTTTCCTTTGCCCGTGTCCCTGTGAGAGAGCAACTTTGCACATGACGCTGGGAGTCGCAACGAGCTACGAGAGCATGAGCTGCTACCAGCTTTTGCGCATGTCGGTCGAGTCGGACGACGGGTCCATCGTGTTTCAGCCGACGCTTGTCGAGTCGGAGCTGCTCCGCCTCCTCCGCGCCCTCGGCGTGGTTGATGTGGCGATGAACATGCGCCAGGACGACCAGCTCGGGCACTTTGTGAACGCGTCCGGTGACGATGGCATTGATGTTGTTGCTTGCTTTGGCAAGCAGGCGGCCGTCGAAGCCGAGCTCCGTGCGCGCGGGTGGTGGCCGTCCAAGTTGGAAAAGTACTTGGCGCCTGACCACGAAGGCGTGTATGCGATCCGCCTCGCCGAGACGCGGCCCAAGGTCGTCCTCTTTACGTGGCTCGTTGCGCGCTCGTTTGAGCCAGCCCACTTGCGTGAACGGGCGACGTATGCCCTGCGCTTTGTGACGACGCTGACGCCGACGGTGCTGTGCTGCCTCACGGAGGCCGACTGGACGGCGCTCGAGCTGGCGGCCAGCGAGACGCGCCAAGGCGCGCGCTGGAAGAAGTACTCGGTCGCCTTTTCGATCAAGGAGGCCACGGTGCAGAAGGAAATGGTGGCCTGCGATGTGCTCGGTACGATGACGCTGCTGCCGACGGGGCAGACGCTGGTGCCAGCGACGGGTGCCACGGGCGTGACCTTGAGTACGTCAGTGGCCCACGACATTCAAAGTAAGCACGACTCGGTGGCGACCGACAACTTTGCAGCTTGGCTCGTGGAGATGGTGGCGACGCACCGGATTGAGCTGCGCACCGCGATTCCCCGTCCGCTCATGAAGGCCGCGCTGCAGGCGTGGGACGCGTTTCCGGAGGCGATGCTCGGAGACGTCACCCTGGCCAGCCTCCAAGACCAGTTTCGCGCGGACGTGGCCGCCAATGTTGCGGGTCATTTGCGCGAGCTGGAAGCCCGATGCCTCTACAACGCCGCTTTCCTTTTCTACATCGCGGACGAGCCGTCGGAGGCAGCTGAAATCCGGGCCCACACGGCGATGGTGGCCGACTTTGCGCTGCTCAAGGAGCACATCTCGAGTGCGATGCAGCTGCCGATGTACTTGTACTTTGCTGAGAGCGTTGGGAACGCGATCAACGTTGAGTACTGGCAGCTGCTGCGTACGGATCCGCACTTGACGGGCAAGAAGACGTTTGCGCAAGCTGCGATGGGGACGATCAAGAGTTGGTTTGGCGCGGATGCCTTTGTGGCCCTCACGTTTCCGTTCCTGAGTGCTGCCAACGCGGCCCCCATGCGTCTCATTTTGCCCAAGATCCGCAACGCGCTCCAGTCGCACCATGACCACTGGTGCCGTGACTTCAAGAGCTTCTTGCACGACAAGGCTGTGTTCGACATCATTGTCGGCCACGTCGTTGCCATCGAGGGTCCCAAGAAGGACCACCCCGCCGAGCTGCGTGCGATCAAGGAGGAGATTGTGCACGAAGCCTTTGTCTCGGCGATTCGCGAGAAGACTGCCATCCACAATGGCTCCTCGGCGATGACGACTGCGATCACGAGCGCCAGCAAGTTTCGCGTGAGCTTTTCGAAGCAGTACGTGGCTGGCGGCGCCACAATGCTGCAGCTGACGCCGCTGCGCGGTGCTGCCCTCGCCAAGCTCAAGCTGCCGCTCAAGGCGTCGGTGGTGTTTGTGGCTGTGGTTGGCACGGTGGTCCTCGTCGTCTTTACCATCGACACCAAGACGTACGTGCGCGCGTACCAGTCGCACGGGCCCCGAGCCATGACGCAACTTCACACGAAGCAGTTTCCGCATTTGGTCGAGTGCTGCGACTTTGACGTGACGCACCGCATGCTCGGTCTGCTCCACTCGACGTGCAAGGTCGAGCTCTTTGCGTTCAACGAGTCGTACAAGCTGCTGGAGCGCGTGCACCAGGTCAACTTGGTGCTGCTGCGCCCGCCGCCGCCGTACACGCAGCTGTTTGTGTTTGGCGGCGACAACCACGGCGTGTTTTGCGTCGGCGACGATGGCAGCGCGCAGTCGTACTTCTTGCGCACACAGCAGCTCTCGAAGCACGTGCCGCAGTTTGTCGCGACGCCCGACACCAAGGTGCTCAAGCTCCACGACGGCGCCTTTGTGGTCTGCCTCGTGCCCGACGCCGACGGCGTCGTGCGGGTGCAGACGCTCATGACGCACGACCACGCGCCGCTGCCCGAGACGGAGCTGACGCTACCGACGCGCCTCAACTGGCCGGCGACGCACGCGCGCGCCTACGCCGACACGATTGTGCTGCTGGACCCGACCACGTCGGTCGTTGTCGAGCTGACAATGACGGTTGTCACGGGCAAGGTGGCGTGGCAGCTGCAGTGCGCGCAGGAAGCGGTCCCCGCGACGGCCGGCGAAGCGCACGTGCTCTGGGCACTCTTCCATGTGTTTGAGAAGTTTCCCGTCCGCGCCTTGATGGACGACGAGGGCGGGCTCTTGCCGCACGCGCTGCAGCTGCACGTCCACGCCGACACGCCAGCCCGCCGCAACGTGCTCTCGGTCGTCCTGGACAGCGTGATGGCCAAACTGCTGGCGCTCAACAAGGACTTGTCGCCGCTCTCGCTCAACAAGGATGCGGTTCTTGGCAGCGAGTCGCTCGTGTGGCCGACGATGGCGCTTGCGCCATGGCTTCTGGAGCTCGTCGGGTTTGTCCCGGTGCCCATTTGCCGCGCCCATGACAACCAGCTGGTGCTATTGCGCGACGGCGTGGCGGCTACGTTTACCGACGGGTCGGAGGCGCATACGCTGGCGCCGCAGATTGGCTTTGGCCCCGCGAGCCACGTGTTGCATGCGTGGAGTGGCCCCGTCGTCGTGCTCACCTCGATGGGGAAGCAGTCGACGGGCAAGTCGTACTTTCTGAACCACCTCACGGGCAGTTCGTTTGCGATTTCGGGCGCCCGCTGCACGGACGGCGTGTGGCTGACGCTGCGGCGTCTTGGCCGTTGCCTTGTGGTCGTCCTCGACTTTGAGGGCCTCGGGTCGTTTGAGCGGTCGGCGCAAGAAGACACGTTTCTCTCGGTGCTCAACGCGGCGATCTCGCGGCTCACGGTGTTTCGCATTGAGATGCGCTTTGACAAGGACATTGACGGCATGTTTGCTAAGTTTCAGCAGGGCGTCGCGCTGCTCAAGGGCGACGAGCGTCTCTTCCGCGGCCAGCTCTACTTGAACGCGAAGGACGTCAACCCGAACGACCAAGCGTCGGTGGTGGCCGAGTTTGAGTCGAAGCTGGCGGCCATTTTGAGCGAAAACACGGCCGACAACTTTGTCTCGGCCATGTACGGCGGCGACGTGGTGATTACGTGCTGCCCGCCGCTCGGCAACAAGGGCTACTACGAGGCGCTTGCGGAAGCGGCTGCGCTCTTGGTGCACGCGCGCGACACGAAGGCGTATGTCAACGGCCACGACTTTCACGAGTGCCTCAGCATGGTGCTGGCCAAGATTGCGCTTTTGGACTGGACGTCGATGGAGGACAATGTGCAAGCGCACAAGAGCGTGGTGTCGCGCCAGCACATTCGCTACGCGCTGCGCCACGGCATCCTCGACGACGGCACGTCGCTCGGCCCCAACTATGACGTGACGATGACGGCGCAGTTTGAGGCGGTCGTGCCGGAGCCCGAGATGGTGGCCCCCATTGACGATACGCTCGACTTTGGCTTGGACCTGAACGAAGGCGACGTGGCGACGAACTTGGCGACCGCCAAGGCGACGCTGCTGCTGTATTTGCAGCGCTTTTTGGACCATGTGGACGAGCCGCGCACGGTGCAGCAAGAAGCGCGGTTTGATGCGATCTGGGGCTTTGTCGTCTGGCGCCGCGAGTACCGTGTCCGCCTCTGGTTTGAGTCGCTCGGCGTTGCGAGCCGCGACGAGCGCGACGGCCTCGACGCGTGCGTGCTCAAGACCAAGCAGTTTTTGCGCCGCTGCCAGCACACGTGCGCGCGTTGCAAGCTCGGGTGTTTTGAGTCGTTTCTGCACGAGGCCGACGTCGCCCACGACTGCGGCACGAACCACAAGTGCCAGGGCCACTGCGCCTACTGCTTGACGGACACGATTCCGTGCGGCGCGGCGGCCGGCCATGCGGGCGCTTGCAACTGCAGCGTCCTGGACCACACGTGCCCGGCGCCGTGTGCGATGGCCAGCGCCAGCAACTGCGACGGCGGCTGCCACCTGCCCGTCGACCACGACGGCGACCACACGTGCAGCGTGGCGCTGCACTGCTGCGGCGACGCGTGCGCCGCGCCCAACTGCCGCAGCCTCTGCACGCAGCCGTTTGCTTTGGCCCACGCCCCGCACCACTGCGGCGCGAACCGCTGCCAGCAGCTGTGCAGCTACGCTGACTGCGGCAACGGGTGCGCGGCCGACGACCATTTCCATGCGCCCGACGCGCTGCATGCATGCGGCAAGGCGCACTTGTGCGCGGCCGAGTGCGCGGTCGAGGGCATGTGTGAGGTCAAGGTGCAGCTGGAGAAGACGACCGAGACCTTTCACGGCGCCCGCAGTACGTTCGAGTACACGCACCAGGCGATGAATGGCGGGCGAAAGAAGTGTGCAGCGGCGCTGCCGACCGGTCGTCTGGACCACGCGGGTGTCGACCACCAGTGCACGACGGCCGTGCACACGTGCACCGTGCGCTGCCCGTGCTGCCAGTACTACTGCGAGAAGGCGTTTGGCCACGCCGACTTGCACAAGACGTCGCACGGCAACATGAAGGAGACGTACTTTGTCTCGGACTCTGCAAGCGTCGACATTGACGGCCGCCAGTACACGGCCGGCGAGCGCGGGGTGGCCGAAATGTGCCCCTTCTTTTGCGCCAAGATGGGCCGCGGCCACGTGCACTACGTCACGTGCGACGCTACGTCGGCCGCCAATTGCGTGTATGCCACCTCGGACGGCCGCCGCCACTGCACGGTGCCGCTTGAGCCGCACCCCAAGCAGCCCATGGACGAGGTGCTCCATGAGACGTACTGGAAGCTGCTCGGGTGGGAAGATCCCGTCACGAGCGCTGTCGAGCGTGCGGCGTTTGGCTTGTGCCCGTTCCAGTGCGACGCGCCCGACCACAAGGTTGACGACCCGTCGTACTGCGTGCTGGACGCGTGGCATGTGCCCAGCAGCGCGAACGACGCGCTCGCGCCGGGGCACACGCGCGTGCAAGGGCACGTGTTCAACTGCAAGCACTATGCCGGTCGCGGCTTGGACCATCATGTGTTTGTGCTGGACGCGTCGGGCTCCATGTCGGGGCAGCCGTGGCTCGATGTGACGGCCGCCGTCCACGCCTACTTGGCCGAGCAGCGCGCCAAGAAGGGCCCGAACTGCGCCGACATTGTGTCGGTCGTGACGTTTAGCTCGCGCGGCCGCATTGAGTTTGAAGCGCGGTCGATGGACGAGATGGCGCAGGTGCAGATTCCGTTTCAAGGCCAAGGCACCGACTTTGACACGGGCTTGCGCTGCGCGATCGAGGTGCTCTCGCGCAACCAGCACGCGAGATACACGCCGGTCGTGCTCTTCTTTTCGGACGGGTACCCCAACACGAGCAGCAGCGGCGTCTACTTGGCGCAGCACATTGCAACGACGTTTGGCCGCCACCAGCTGCTGAGCTTTCTCGTTGGCTTTGGGCAAATGAACTTTGTCTGCCTCGAGCAGCTCGCCGTGCACATGCAGGGCACGTTCCACAATGCAGTCTCGGGCATTGACCTCCTCGAGACGTTCAAGCAGATTTCGGTCGCCGTGCACCTCAAGACGGGCCTCGTGTGCAAGGCGGCGCCGCCGTGATCGCGATACCTCGATCTGGATCTGGGTCGCGGATCTGGTAACCCGACTGGATCAATGCGTTTGTCGTTTCTCTGATGGGACTGTTGTGGATGTGGAATGGCCACCGAAAAGTCCCTAGATGGTTGGAGTTGACACCGCAGGAAGCACCGGGGACAGTAGACAGGACGTCCGGTGGCACAATCGGCCCAGCGTGAAGGCAGACAAGTCGTCCGCACCAGTGTCGCTGCCTCTTGATACCACGAGCCAAACGTGTATGCTGTGGGCCCTCGTATTGCGGCTACGACTAGGTTGGTGCTTGGATCCTTGCGGATTCTTGGTCGGCGGCAGCAAAAAGACTTGGTGGAGGTACGAGACGCACGACGAGGTCATTCTGTTTGTACATCTAGGCGACTTCCATCTAATCACGGTACGTCATGTCTTCCTCCTCGAAGCCGATCGTGGGGAAGCTGCGCATGAACGACGTGACCTTGGCTTCGAGCGCCTCGATGTCCGTCGCCGCGTTGCCGGCCGTGATGTAGTCCTTGAAGTCCTGGACCTTCTTGCCCGTGACCTTCTTGCTGATCGCGACCGCGAGGTTGACGCCTTCGTCAATCAAGTCGGCGACCTGGACAAAGTCCTCTTCCGTGAGGCCACGCGTCGTGAGGGCGGGCGCGCCGAGGCGCATGCCGCCGGGCACGAGCGCGCTCTTGTCGCCCGGCACCGTGTTCTTGTTGATGACCATGTTGACGTTTTCGAGGAGGAACTCGACGCGCGAGCCATCAATGCCCTTGGAGCGCTTGAGGTCGACGAGGCAGAGGTGGTTGTCCGTGCCGTTCGAGACGAGCGTGTAGCCCTTCTCCATAAGGCGGCCCGCAAGCGCCTTGGAGTTGGCGAGCACCTGCTTCTGGTACGCAATGAATGACGGGCTCTGGGCCTGGAGGAGCGCGGTCGCAAGCGCCGAGATCGTGTGGTTGTGCGGGCCGCCCTGGAGACCCGGGAAGACCGTAAAGTCGATGCGCGACGCCAAGTCGTACTTGATCTCTACAGCAGATATATTGCATGAGAACCTCATCCTTGCAATAATGTCTGAGGGACGTACCCTTGCCCTTCTTGTCGACGCTCTGGACGCCCTTGCGGTAGAAGATCATGGCGCCGCGGGGACCACGGAGCGACTTGTGCGTCGTCGTCGTGACCACGTCGGCGTACTCAAACGGCGACGGCACGACGCCCGCGGCGACGAGGCCCGAGATGTGCGCCATATCGGCCAAGAGAATCGCATTGTTCTGCAGGAGGAACGCGATGAGATGACCATACTTAGAGGAATATGAAAGAGATGGAATGCTACCTGTTGGGCGATCTGCTTCATGCGCGCGTAGTCAATGTGGCGCGCATACGCACTCGTGCCAGCCACGATGAGCTTGGGGCGGAAGAGCTCGGCATTCTTCTCGAGCGTGTCATAGTCGATCAAGCCCGTCGACTCGTCGCAGCGGTACGGCATGCTCTCGAAGAAGATGGACGTCGCCGAGATCTTCTTGGTGCCCGTCTGGAAACCATGCGAGAGATGGCCGCCATGGGGCAAGTCGAGCGACATGATGCGATCGTGGGGCTGGAGAAGCGCCGTGTAGACTTGGAAGTTGGCCGGCGACCCCGAGAGCGACTGGACGTTCACGCCCCACTCTTCCGGGTTCAAGTTGAAGGCCTGGAGCGCGCGCTCTTGGCAGAGAAGCTCGGCCTGGTCAATGTACTTGTTGCCGCCATAGTAGCGCTGGCCCGGGTACCCTTCCGAGTACTTGTTGGACATGACCGAGCCGAGGGCGTCGTAGACCGAGCGCGACGTGAAGTTCTCGGACGCGATCAAGCTCACCGAGTTGCGCTGGCGCTGCTTCTCCTTCTCGATGATGTCAAAGAGGACTGGGTCCGTCTCCTTGAGCGGCTTGTTCATGTCCTTGGCCCACTACGCACATACGGCCGTCAACCTCACGTCCTCGCTTCCATCCTCCTCCTCCTCATGCTGAGGACGTACCTGGAGGCTGGCGGTCGAGGACGCGCGGAGCTGGCGCGCGGGGAGCGCGGCCACGAGCTTCTTCATCGCGAGCATCTTTCTGCAGCGGGGCAAAAGCGAAAATGACCACAAAATGAAAATCCATTTGACTTGGCATTTGTATACCGCCCACTACTTCAAGGAAGATTTCCACACGACAGGATATCCGCCAATCAGAAACTGCCAAGCAGGCGCGGGCCAATCAAAGCGCGCGCAGCGTTGCACTAGGATCGGCGTAGTCAGTGGCAAATCACCTGAGACGAGTGGGCTCCCGTTTGGTAATCACGACGGGCGCATCCCTGCCCGTCATCTTGGCGATGACGCTGCATGGCCGCCACGTCGAGGTAGACGCTGGCACATGATGCCATGCAGCGAGGAGAGGGCGGCGCCGACGTCGACCAAGAAGATGGGTGCATGGGCCCTCCGGCAACCGCATGTTGCTCCGCGTACCAGAAGCGCCACCCAAATCGAACCCACGTCGCCACCACTGTTTTCTCCGTTGCGCGCTCGCACGCCATTCAGGGCCGTGGAGCGGGCGCCTCGGGCGGCGACGTGCGCAAGGCGACGACGCTCTTCGTGTCTGCTATATGCAGCGACAAGAGGCCTTCCTTTCAACGAGCAGCGAGACCATGACCAGCGAGGACGTGCAGGAAGCTTGTCGTCGCTCACACGCTGCGTAGTTGTGTCGTGGTGAGGCCGTGGGTGGGCATCTGTGATGCGTGCGCTCTATCAGATGGAGCACAGACTCTATCGACGACTCCATCGCTGGTCATAAAGGTCGTTGGTATTGACCGTATGCATTGCGTGTCGACCTTGGCGGAGCTGAGGAAGGGCGGCGGCGGTCAGACCGACTAGTGCAGAGAAAGGCCAGCCAGATCGAGGGTGCTCCATGGGACGCCGCGAAGCCATGCTTGCATCCCATCCTGCTGTACAAAGCCGCGCACAAGAAGCAAAATTAACGATATGACCACCTGCATCAACGGCTACGGACTGGCCTGCATGGCGACTTGGTTCCGGAACTCGATTTTTTGTCGGTTCCAACGCGCCACGAACGACTCCTTCTTCCAGCGCTCGCGGACGCCTTGGGCCTTGGCGTCTGCGATCTTCTTATGAAGCAAGTTGAGCTCGACCTTTTCTTCCCACGTCAAGCTGGCGTCCTATCCGAGCCGTGATGAGCACGCCTGTGAATCGAGTGTGTCGACCGTGAACTGCGACGCGAGACGCGTCAAGACGTGCTGGCGCATGCGCTTGGCCATGTTCCTACAGGTTTCGTGAGCATGGAGGCCAAGCACGAATGGTAGACGCGTACCCGACCGACTCGATGCGGCCATCGTCGCCGTTGAACTTGATCGCATTGTCAAACACAAGCAGCAGGTCGTTCTTGTACTCGTCGATGGAGCCGTACGACGTCATGGCCGCGGGTGGCCCAAATACATTGACCATCTCGTCGTGGTCGTCGCCGGACGCTGTGAGCTGGAGCCGGCCTTGGATCGTCCCGAGGTCCATCGGCCGCTCAATGATCTGAAAGTACGTGGGGATGTTGAGCTTCACGGGGTCCACGGGCTCGAGGAAGGGCCACGCCAGCTCGTGCTTCATGAGCTCCTTGTGCATCTTCTTGACGTCGACCAGCCATGCTGTCTCTTCGGCGTCGTCATGGGCGTCCGCGACCGTCGGCTCGACCTCCATTCTTTGCCTCCTCGTCGATCTGGCACCGTATCCGGCGCCTTACTCATATCCGGAAAGATTGCGTTATTCGTTCCAAACTGCCCGAGCTGCCACCACCGCGGCCGGCTCGTCCACCCAGCTCGCCCGCCCAGCGAGCGCGCCCCGTCCTGCGCAGCCACGAAGGTGCATGGTCCTAGATCTGCAGTAGCATGACCATAGATCTATGCATTTGCACAGACTGCAATAGCATCGTAGGAGGAAGCAGAGCTAACGCGTGGCTGCATGTACATTTGCATCATCTATGCCCGCAGTCGACTGCGGCGGCTTGCGCTCAGTACGCCCACTGCTTGGTCAAATACAGAAGCGGCGTGAACGAGATGTAAAAGAGCACGTCGAGGAGCGTGAGGCGGTGCGTCGACGGCTTGTCCTAGTCGAAGCCACTCAGCAACCCATTCAACTTGCCATGCGCCACGTACGGTCTTGCGCTGGCTAAAGAAGAGAAGCATCCAGAGCGAGAAGAGCGCGCTAAAGGCCAAGAGCGGGAGGTACACGTCCGGCGGCGGCGTCGACGTGCCAACGAGGCCGTCGGCAAACTTGACCCAGACGAGGACCTCAAAGACGCCGATGCTGCACATCATCCACGCGTTCTGGCCGAGGCGCCAGCACGCCGGGTTGGTGATAAACTCAAAGTACTAGACATTGTCGCCATGAGCGTCTTCAGAGCCTGCAGATTCATGATGTCTACCTCGGAGGCCGCGGGGAGGCCCAGCATGAAGATGAGGCAGAGCCGGTACTTGTTGATATGGCTCTCCTTTGGAATACTGAGCGTGCTCAGGAGGAAGAACGCGTTGAGCTCGACAAGGAGGCACACAAAGACCGCGACCGCGACCTACGCATTCTCTAAGTGGCGAAGCACGATGACGAGGTGGTGTGTACCAGCGCGAATCGCTTGAAGCTTGAGAACACTTCCCAGTCGTAACGCGACCAGCTAAAGGGCGTGAACTGGCTGAGCGCGCGTCGGACATAGCCCCGCTTGTCGCCCTTGTTACCAGACCAGTCGTACTCCTTGGTCTCGAGGTACTTGAGCGTGAGGCGGCCCAGGCACATGCCAATAAAATTGGCGCCAAAGAGGTCCATGAAGAGCGAGTCCCACCAGCACTCTCGAAAGTCGGGGATCACAAACTGGAAGATGAGCTCGAGGAGCTCAAACGCGATGGCAAGGACCCAGCAAAAGCGCCAGTCGCGAAACATGCACATCTTGCCCCACCACCCCGTGACGTGCGCGAGGAACCAGATGCTCGAGACGCCGCGATACAAGGTCTACACACCAATGTACATATTGTCTAGTAAAAAGAGTCGTGTCATACCGTCGAATTGATCTCGCAGTTCAGTGGCGCGGACGGCTTGGCCGTGGCCTTCGTGCCCACTTCGGGAAAGAGCACGCGGATAGCCGCGGTCGCCGACGCCAGGTTTTGCACCGACAAGGCCGCCAGCAAAAGAAGGTACAACACCGAGAGACCGTGCACGATGCGCCAGACGCCAGGATGCGGGCGCACGAGGAGACCGTCGCGCGTCTGGAGAAAGCAGTAGGCGAGGAAGATAAAGCTTGCCGACCAGAGCCCGTTGCGGACGTTGAGCTCAAAGTCCTACGCTACCATGAGCACCGTATCGATAGCAACGAGACGCGTACGTCCGAGTCGTGCGTGAACGAGTAGTGCGCGACGGCGACGACGACGAGGAAGAGAAAGAGGAACTGACGTGGCTCTTCTTTGAAGAGGAGCAGCCCATCGTAGCCGTGTTCGCGGCTGGCGCGGAAGGCGTTGCCGACAGAGACCGTCGCTGGCGACGCGCTCGACTTGGTCGGTGTCAGCGGCGCATCGCTGGTCTCGACTTGCAGCGGCGTCTTGCGCCGTCGGAGCTCGCTGCTCATGCTTTTGCCACTTTCAAAATGGCGCCGCTTGTCATTCGTTTTTATTCCGATACAAACCCCAAGTGTAAAAACAAATGGCCCCACCCACGTGGACGCCGATATCCGATTAAGTGCGATCGACAGGCCAAACGGCATACACTATTTCGTGCTTTCCCCGCCACAAAAGATACACAACGCCAACGCTGCATAGAAACCGAGCGAGCGATGACGTGGCCGTGTGGCGTCGACCATAGCCAAGTGAATAGAAGCACTCGCCAGCATTAAGCATTGTCTTGACCATAGTCGTGGGCCAATCCCGCATCCATCATTGATCGAACTGGCAACGCTGCTCGTTGCAGACGCACCCGTGGCGCGAAGAGGGCGTTGGCAGCTGTTCGCTCAAGCAGTTTCGCGAGCGAATTCGGCTACACGCGTGGTATCGACGATGTTCGGTACTGCAATAGCGGTAGTAGGTACTGTGAGAAGGGACGAAAGGTGAATCTGCGGTGCTGGAATCGGTGCTTGCAGTTGCTTGTTTTGAGCATTACCCTCGAAAGACAGTGTATGGCGAAATGCGTGTACAGCGCTGTGATTAGAGAGACCTTATTTGGCGTGCTGGCCTTGCTAGTTGCTCCGGCAGCGCGCCCTCAAACAACACTGTTTTATGTCCACCATCACTCTTCGTATGGCATTATTTACTGTGATAGTCTCTGTTAAGTCCGGCGGACTTGATCAGAGCCGTTGGCTTCATCACCAAACAAAAAATCAGCGCGATGGCCCAAGCTCAAGCGCAAGGTACGTCGCTTCGACCGCGCCGCCGGTGCATGACATCGCGCCTGCGTAGAAGCACCGCGTACCAAGTTCTACGTCCGTGGCAAGACGGTACTGCATCTACATGCGCTGGTGACGGCGTCTCATGCGGCGACTAGAGCGTCGAGCCCTTCTGGGGCCTGCCGTCCGTGACGCCCGACGATCTCGCGCTGCGCAAGATCGAGGCCGAAGCCACGCTCTCGACGTGCGACAACATGTTTATGAGCCCCGACGGTAGCAAGGCTGCGTTCATCTCGACGGAGCTCGGCTTTGTCGTCCGCGCCACCGAGACGTACGTCGCCATCCACTCGTTCTGCCATCGCTTACACACCGCTTGCAGGAACGAGGTACTTGTTGAAGTCGCCAACCCGGGCATCCAGGCCGTTGCTTGGTCGCCGCTCGCGACGCAGCTCGTTACGTGGCAGCGCCCGGTAAAGGACTCGACCGACGGTACGATCCCGTCCACGACCTACTCGATCAACCACCACGGCCCTCTTCTAGGCAACCTCATTGTCTGGGACGTCTCGAACGGCTCGATCATCGCGCGCTTCAACCAGAAGACGTACACGCGTGACGTACGTCCCTCCCATCTCGCTCGTCTTGCTTAGTACTGGTCGTAGCACTGGCCGTCGATCCAGTGGAGCTCGGACGAAACGATTGCCGCGCGCCTCAGCGGCAGCGGCGTACGCTCTACCTTCCTCGCATGCGTCATCTTATCGGCGTCATCGCATTAGGTCCAAGTGTACAATGGTCGCGCGATTGGCGCGGGCAACATTGGCAACATCGTGCTCGAGGTACATCGTCATGCTTTTTGAAACGTATCGTATCAATGTATCGAGTAGAACACGGCCAAGTTTAGCGTCGCGCCGGGCAGCATTCCGTACAAGATTGCGCTCTTCGTGCCCGAGAAGAAGGGCAAGCCCGCGAGCGTCCGCGTCTACCCGTTCCCGCCCAACACGGCGCAGTCGCACGTCGCGTTCAAAAGCTTTTACAAGGCCCAAGACGTCAAGCTCAAGTGGGCACCCAACGGGTCGGCGCTCATCATCGAGACGAGCACCGACGTCGACACGTCGGGCAAGTCATACTACGGCGAGACCAACCTCTTCTTCCTCCAGAGGTTCCGACATAGCCCTAGCCCTCGCCTCGTGGAAAGGCTTCATCTGTGTATGGTAGTGACGGCCAGTACGACTGCAGCATTCCTGTGACCAAGCAAGGTCCTGTGCACGACGTGCAGTGGGACCCGACGTCGCGCGGCTTTGTCGTGCTCGCGGGCTCGATGCCGGCCAACGCCACGGTACATTGTACTCGAATCTTTGGTCGCTAACATGTTGTGTGCAGCTCTACGACAACCAGGCGTGCCCCGTGTTTGAGTTTGGCGCGGCCTCGCGCAACACGATCAGCTGGAGTCCCCACGGTCGGTTCCTCTGCCTTGCCGTACGCTTCGTCTCGAAAGGCTGCAGGCTGACATCGAGGATTAGGGGTTTGGCAACTTGCCGGGCCACATGGACTTCTGGGATCGCAACAAGCTCAAGAAGCTCGGGTCCGCGACGTCGGAATGCGCCACTGTGTACGTCACACACAACATGACGATATTGTGTGTTGATGATAGGGTGTAGGCATGGCTGGTCGCCCGACTCGCGCTACTTTGCGACCGCGACGACCTTTCCTCGGTAGCTCTACTTCTAGGGAGCGTTGGATCGCTGACGATTTGCGCGTCACGTGTAGCGTCCGCGTCGACAACGGCTTCAAGATCTTCAAGTACGACGGTATTGGCCCGGTCGTGTCCGAGTCGCGAGGTGAGATCTACGACTTCCAGTTCCGCCCCGCGGCGGCGGGTGTCTACCCCAACCGCCCGGCGACGCCGCGCTCCAAGGAAGAGGTGGGTTCTCCACTGCGATTGCATACCATGTATCTCGTGGCTGTAGGAAGCCACGATTGCGCCGCCTGCGCCGGTGCGCCAGGCGTACCGCCCGCCCAACTCGACCGGTGCGCTCGCCGCGATGCTCCGCCGGGAAGAAGGTACGGGTGCGCGCAAGCTTGACCGCAACAAGTACGCGCCTGTCAAGACTGTCGGCGGCTCGGGTGTGATTCCTGGCATGGCCGCGCCGGTCGTCAAGAAGCCGAGCAAGGCCGAGAAGAAGAAGAAGGCGATCGAGGCTGCGGCCGCCAAGGCCGAGATCGAGAAGGCCGCTGCCGAGCTCCTCGCCTCGGTTGCCGTGCCTGCGGCCAAGGGTAAGTATCTATCCGCCATGACTCCAGCCTCACCGAGCGGTTAGTGGTGCTGACGCCGGAGGAGAAGGCCAAGAAGGCCAAGGCTGTCCAGAAGAAGCTCAAGCAGATCCAGGATATCAAGGGCAAGCAGGCCAACGGCGATACGCTCAACGAAGACCAGCTCGCCAAGCTTGCGATGGAAGTTGCGCTCCAAGCCGAGCTCGAGACGTTGGCGTAAACCGATGCGAAGGCATTCCCCTAACCTCAAGATCGTATCTGATCATCTCCTGAGTCGACATCGCCATGCCGTTGGCACCCCATCGACCCTGGCATTCATGCGCGAGTCTTCGCATCTACCAGTCGATCGGAGCACTGCAACTGTCGGTCGGTGCAGGCGTCACACCAGCACCGAGACGAGCAAACGCCATGAACAGGGTCGGTATCAAGCGTGCGACCGCGAGCCTACTCACCACCAGATGGGTATGGCCAGCAGTAGGTCCGGACGTAGGTGCCTGCGGTGTTGCCGCCATCAAGGGCAAACTCGGAAAGGCCAGCGTGTCAACAGACAATAGTACAGCTTGATATAACTTAGGACAAGGAGGTGGTCTTGGCTGCTAATCGCCAAGGAAGATGGTGTCGCGGGGGGACCCACAGTCGGAGCTGCAGAGTAGCGGAATGTCGTCGTCCATCGAGAGCAAGCTGCTGTTCTGCAGCTGGAGCGACGACGCCGGGTCGTCATGGTGTAAAAACACAATACTAGGGCGCACCACGGACGCCTTGACGCTGGGGTTGTAGACCGGGTACGACGGCGCGCGCGACGACCGCATCGTGCCGCTCGGGTGCCACTGCGCCTCGAGCGTCGAGCCGTACGTGTCGATCATGGTCGCGTACGGCTTGGCGCGGTGGGCGGCTTGCACGGCGAACTCCTGCTGCTTCTTGGATGCGTTCTCTTGGAGCACGGGGTGCTGGGCGCAGTAGACGGCCGCCAGGTTCCGGCACATCGGGTTCGTGTGTACGTACGCGCTAGGGTTGGTGCCAAAGGAGGCTGGCACGGCGAGGAATCCGTGGAGGAGCCGGCCAAGCATGTTGGCCTGGTCGCGCGCCATCGCATTGAGCTTCTGCGACGAGGGCTCCCAGTGGAAGGTGCGCAGAACGTGGCAGAGCGTCTGGAGGTACAAATGCAGCTGCCGGAGCCGGTCGAACACCACTTCTTTCGCGGTTGACGGCGTGCCGAGGAAGCCAAAGTGCATCATTTTTCTCGGAAACTGAAACCCGCGGAGCGCGAGGCAGGCCACGTCGTGGGCCGCGTTGGACTTGGTCCCGCGCGTCTTGGTGCGCGCAAGGATCGAGCGGACCGCGTCGGCGAGCACGCGAAACTGCGAGTACCGGCGCGCGACAACGAAGTGGCCGTGGCCGCGCTCCGTGACCTGGATGATGTACTTGGTGTGGCGGTGGCCGCCCTCGTACGAGTCGTCGACGGACGCAATCATGACGTCGGCGTGCTGGAGAAAGCTCGCGGCGCCGGCGTGGGTCATGCTCGTCTCGACTGCCGCCATGCCCATGGTCCGGACGATCGAAGAATGGTGGTGGTCAGCAGCAGGCAAGTCGTATGCGGAGACAGTGCTGCCCATGCCCAGAGAGGCTGATGTAGCAAGTGGCGTCTGCTCTCGAAGCAGTTGGTGGTCGCGTCCTGCCAGAGACTTGGCCCGTTGGAAGCTGTAACGCACAGCCGCCCGGTCCGCCACGTGCGAGCCAATCAGCGTCGCCGATTCAGGTCCACTCTCTCATTGCAATCGAAAATCACATGTTTTTCGAGAGACGACCACCAACACTCACACTTCGGTATACTTTAATTCATAGTCGAGCCTGGCGATGTTGACGAAGGAAATTCAGTGCTCGTGGGTACCGCAGAAAGGCGGTCCGCGAAGAGACGCCGCTTCGAACCCGGCAAAGGCCGACGGTATTAATGACGGCGGTGCAATTGCTGCGGCAGCGACGAGACCTGGCACTTGCCAGCTACAAGCGAGGGCTACGAAGGCCGTCAATGAGCGAGGGTGTCCTGGGTGCATGGTGCTGCTAGGACGGCGTTTCGAACGACCCACGAGTGCGGGATCTCTCTCGACGGTTCGTACCAGAGAGCCCGCCACCACCCAAGCTTGCCGGTGCGTGGCGCGTCAGCGCACCGCGTCAGCAGGCTGCATGTTTCTACCCTTCGACCGACAAGGTCTGTCACCACGCGCATCGACAACCGTGCGACGCATGTTGGCCTCTACCGCAGAGCACCACTCTAGTGATCATCGACTAGACTAGAATCTGTCGTTTTTGCTTACAATCGTCGAAGTGGCTACAGGCGGAGGAGGGCGACGGCTGCGACCACCGCGAGCGTATCGAGGGCGACGCCATGCGCGTCGTTGCCTTTCTTGGTCGAGACGCCGGTGGTGTTGCAGCTCGCGCCCGTGAAGCCGCTGTTGCACTTGCAGGTCGCGCTGGCCGTGTCGCACGCGCCGTTGCCCGAGCACGCGTTCGGGCACACGGGGTTGCACGCCGTACTCGACGCCTTTGTGTAGCCGTCCAAGCACTCGCACGACCCGCCGGCGCAAACAGCGTTGGCACCGCACGCCGGCGCGCACTGCCCCGTGTTGCAGACCACAAACGGGTCCGGGCAGTAGAGCGTGCCGGTGAACGATGAGGCGTCAAAGGTGAGCTCCTGGCCTTTCTGCGAGCACGTCTTTGTAATTGTGCCCGATGGCCCGGCCACCGTGATCGTCAGCACCAAGCTCGTACACGAGACAGTGTAGCACCCGGTCGTGCGGTCCGGAAGGCGCCACCCGCCATTGTTGGACGAGAGCAGCGTCGACTTGAGGCAGTAGCTGCTGCTGCCGTACGTCTCGCCGAGGAGGTTGATGTTGGTGTTGGTCGGGTGTTGCAAATTCGAGCTAATGCGGCAGTCGCCTTGGGCGTACCCGGCTAAAATCGGGCAATAATCGGGAAACGACGCGCCGCCGCGCGCCGCATTCGTAAAGTACTGGGCGTAGCTCGGGATCGCAGAGGTCGACGTTGAGAGCGTGCAGAACGCTCTTGACGTGAGGTCGACCGTGCACGCATCGATCTTCTCATCGACGCAGTAGTGATCCGGCACGTTGGCCGTGCTCGTGCCATTGGATGCACTCAATGTGACGCAGTTGTCCATGGCAAAGCTGCAGCCGCGGCGTGCCCCCCAGTACATGGGCTCGGCGCTTGTAAAGTTGACTTGGTACCACCCCGAGTCTTGGAAATACGCCTACACGCCAATAATTGCATCGTTTTTTCGAACGAGGGGTAGGGTCCATCGAAAAAAAGACAATATTGTACCAGCGTCAGCCCCGACTGGGCGTTGCGGTAGCTTTGGAGCGGACTCATCATCTCGGGCTCGAAGATCCGCTCTTCCCAGTGACTCCCAAAGCACGCACCAGCATCTTGGTTTTCAAGCTCGACGCCGTTCAATGTCGGGCAGCCAAAGTGCGCTTGGGCGTACGCCAGGACGTTGGGCGTCACGAGCTTGGCGACCGCGTGGCCGCGCTCGGTAAAGAACTGCATCGTATTCGTGCTCGGCAACATCAATGCCGACGCCGTGACACCGTTCGGGCACTTGTAGTTGGTCAAGAGCGGCGGTTGCCCTAAAAATCATATTTTTGCATCATTTTTGCATCATTTTTGCATCATTTTTGCATCTTTTTAACGGTACCGGTCGTGCCATCCCGCGGGGTACGTGGCGTGCCGTCAGCGTTGCGCATGTACGCGTACATTTGCGCCGTAAAGCCAAGTGCATGCGCGAGCTCGTGCGTCGCCGTGTCGAGCTGCAACTCGTACGCGGACGTCGCCGTGTTGAGCTTGTTGGGACAAAAGTTGACCATGCCCATGGTTGGCCGGTCGTACTACATGATTTCTAATGGTATAGTCCAACAATGAAAACACCATCGTACCTGGTCTTGCTGACAGCTTGTCGCGTAGGCCAAGACCGACGTGCCGCAGTGGGTGGTTTGGACTGCGCGAACGTAGAGGACATAGTCGGTGTTGGTGACACCGGCGCCCCCGGCTTGCGTCGAGCAGGTACAGCCCGATGACGTGCAGCTCGAGCACACTTGGATCGAGCCGTAGTGCGCCGGCGGAATCACTTGGTCCAAACACGTCTGTGACGCGGCGACGCTGGCGCACACGGGCGGCACCGTGTTGTACACGGACGTGCACTGCCGCTTGGCATACCACGTGCCGTTGATCGGGATGACCTAGCGAAACAAAGACAAGTTGTCTCTTCAAAAGTGGTGATAGAGCACGAACTTGAAGCGCGCTCTGCCAATGAGCAATCGCATCCGGCACGAGCTGGTTCACGATGAGCTGCTTCTTGTCGGACGAGAGCGCGCCGAAGCTCTCGCTGTCAAAGATGGGCGTGATGCGCAGCGGCTTGTAGCTCGAGGCGGCGACTTGAATGGCAGCCGACGCCGCGTCGACGGCTGCCTCGAGACGGCGCGAGGCGACGTCGAACGGATGGTTGTCGTAGCTCTGGCTCGAGACCGTGCGGAGCTCGTGGGCGGAGAGTGCGTTGTGAATGCACTGGTGGGCGGCGACGGCGCTTGCCGCAAGCAAGAGACTCGTGACGCGCATGCTCGGTCACGTCGGTTGGCTCGTTTTGTCTCAACACGTGCGCGTATTAATATGTCGGGCAGGAGTTGTCGAGTCGTTTCAGGTTGGGAAGATACGTGGCAGCACCACGGCACAGGATTTCATGGGAAATCAAAATTGGTTTAAAAATTGGTTTTTATAGGCCCCAGTAAAAGGCACCGAGGGCGAAGAGAGGACCAAGCGCAGACAACTTTGTGCGAAACGCGCTGCCCGTCTGGAGCGTCTCGCCCAGTGGCGTGGACGTCGTATTTGTCGTTGGTGGGTCGAGCGTGACGGGCAATGTCGGAATTGGCACGTCCGAGTCGCCCGAGCTGCTACCACCCGTCGGCGTCGTCACGGGCGTTGGTGTATTGCCCAGCGTTGGGTCGCTGGCCGGCACGGGGCCGCTCACCGGCATCGATGTCGACGCAGGTCCGCACGTCGTTGTCGCCGGCGGCGTCGACGACACTGGAAGCGGCGTCGTCGCCGAGACGCAGCGTCCGTTGATGCACATGGCCGTATCACTGCAACTCGGTGTGCAGCTGCCGAGGTCGCAAATGACAAATGGGTCGGGGCACGAGATGGCGCCGGTGAACCCCGGCACCGCAACGGCCTGGCCTTTCTCCGAGCACGTGACAACGACCGAGACGGTCGCGGTCTGCGCCACCGTGATGAGGACCGTCGGTGGTGTCGTAGACATATTGCAGCGCATGGCGTAGCAGCCCGCAAACCGGCCCGTCACAGTCGCACCCTTCATGTCGCTCTGCCGCAGCGTCGTGAGGGCGCACCGACTTCCAGTGCCGTAGACTTCACCGAGCGCCGGGATCGTGCTCCACGGCAGTTTGAGCAGGTTCGATGTGAAGCTGCAGTCGCCGCTCGTGTACCCTGCGTTCAGCGGACAATAGTCGGCGTACATGTTGGTGCTACAATGGGCACCATATCAGATTTCAGATCTCAGATCTCAGATCTCACGTCCGTACCCGCCGTCCGTGATGGTCGGAAAGTACCGATAGATGGACGGAAGCGCACTTGAGTAATTGGCCCGTGCGCAGTTGGAGCGTGCGAGCAGCGCGGGCGCACACGCTTCGGTCATGCTCGCACAAAATAGATCATTGTCGACCGCGACGCCCTTGGCGAGACACGGCGCGGTGGTGTACGAGCAGCCTTGGTTCATGCCCGTGTACAGCGGCGTCGCCATCGCGTAGTTGGGCTGGTACCACCCCGAGTCTTCAAAGAACGCGAGCGTCAATGCTGTAAACGCATTGCCGTTGTAGTTGAGGACTGGCGACATGCTCTCGAGCGGAAAGAGCCGCTCTTCCCTACACCACCATCGTCGTGACGCCTTTGCTCCAACCAAAGTACGCACCAGTGCGACCCGAGGCAGGCCGGGTCGTTGTTCTCGAGGTCGGCGCCCGGTACGCTAGAGCAGTTGAAAAACTGCTGGGCAAACCGCGCGACGGCCGGCGTCACCATCGTCGCGACCGACCGACCGCGCAGCGTCCGGTAGATGATCGTCGAGCTGCTCGGAAAGGCGGTGCTGGTCGTCGTCGTCGTCGCGCCGTTGCAGACACCCGGCATCGGCACCGTCGGGCCGGTACGACCGCCGGTGGTGCGCGGCGTGCGCGGCGTACCGTCCGGCAGCCGCATGAGCGGGTACGACGCCGCCGAGAAGCCAAGCGCGTGCGCCATCTCGTGCATGGCTGTCGTGAGCTGCTGGTTGAAGATCGGGCCCGCGCGCTGGGCCGGGTTGATAAAGTTGGGGCAAAAGTTGATCATGCCAAAGATCGGGCGGTCGAGCTGGTCGCGCTGGCACGACGTCGCGTACGCAAGCACGTTGCTCGCGCAGTTGGTCGTTGTCGCCGCGCGCACGTACAGCAGCATGTCCGTGTTGAGAAGCGGCGTGTTCTTCTCGCCCAACACCGAACAGACGCCACTGCTCGCGTCGCAGAGCGGCGTCGGTGCAAAGTGGGCTTCGGGGATCGGCATGTCGACGCAGAGCTGGTTCGCTTGCACCGAGACGCAGCCCGCGCTGGAGACGCTCGTGCACGTGCGCGTCGCGGCGAGGCCGTTGGCGACCGGCACGACGTGGAGAGCTTGCGACCAGAATGCGACCGCAGCAGGGACGAGGAACTGCGTCAGGAACACTTGGTTGGCTGCGCTGAGCTGCGACAACGTCGCATTGTCAAAGTATGTTTGCAGCCGGAGTGGCTTGTACACGGCGTCTTGGAGCCGGCGGTGGTCGTTGCCGCGGAGGCGGGAATAAGTTTGCGGCGACGTGACGCTCTTCGTGTCGAGCACCTGGTGGTGAACACACGAGCGCACAGCACTGAGCTCCAGCAGAAGGACCGCAGCGGCCCACGGCGACCTCATGCCAAAGGCAGTATGCTGGAAATAGCAGCCGCATCCTCCGACGCTACCGTTGCGCGGGGTGCCATGTTGTGGTCCCGCGCCATCTTGGCGCCGACCAAGATCGCCATGGCGCCTGTCCCAACGGCTAAGAGATAAGAGATATGTATAATTTATATGAGGCGCATAGAAGAGGCGTGGGCGCGTTACTAGTTGTAAAAAAGACAACTAACTACTCGTCGTCTTCGTCGTCGTCCGACATTTCATCGTCGCCGTCCTCGTCGTCATCGTCGTACTCGCTGCCAAACGTCAAGTACGCATTGTCCGGGATCTCGAGACGCAAAAGCGCGTGCAGGTCTTCCGTGTCGTAGCCCTGGGACGAGGCGCCGTCGTCCGAGTCGGCGTCGTCCGACAGCACATCGTCGTCATCGTCGTCGCTCAGGCTGCCATTGGCACCGGGCTCTAGCACCTCATCGTCGTCGTCGTCCTCTTCTTCTTCCTCTTCCAAGCTCGACGTCGACTCGAAATCTTCGTCCTCCTACATCATCCATGATGCTACGGCATGCGCGAGTCGACGCACCATCGATTCCGACTCTTCAACGTTGTCTTCGAGGTCCGAGTCGGCTTCGTTCGGCTTGTTGCGGCCGACCTATTGTGCAATGCAAGACGTAAGTCCTCTGGGACACGCATCTTGGAGAGACCTCGTAGAGGCGGCAGACGGGCGTGTCTTCCCCGTAGACCGAGTCGAGGTACCGGCCTTCGACAATCTACAACAACTGCCGTATAGCCTTCATCTAAGTGGTAGCGGAGTCGTACCGCCAGCAGCGTCTCTTGGTAGTTGAGCGAGACATCGTAGATCGGCCGCTCGACGTCGACGGTCGAAATGTCCTTGTAGTCGCGCGCATCGAGGACTCGAAACCATGTCTTGTGCTTGAGCAACTTCTTGGAACTTTCCTTCTACAGGCTTCTGTTCAGACGCGCCATCGTCATCGCGCGAGACGGACCATGAGCGGTTCGAACGGCGAGTAGGCGTACAGGACGCTGCCATTGTGGTTGAACGCGACGCGGCTCTGCTCGAGAGCCGGCACCATCCGCCGCAGCTTGAACGTGCGGAGGTCCCAGACCGCCGAGTTGACAAGCACCTCATTCCCGCTCGGGTGAAAGTAGCCAAACCCGTCGTTCGAGAGCTTGTCAAACTGGTGCACAGCACGCGAGACGCGGAGGTCCCAGAGCATCCCGTCCGCAAGCACCGTCGTGTCGCAGGGCGAAAACACACAGTTGGTCGCGTCGCCGTAAATACCCGAGGGGCGGACTGGGTCTTCGAGCTGCGCGAGCATGGACCCTAACCCTCGATGACCCACAATGTCGCAATGCCAACCGCGTACCCGTCTCGACTTCGTAGATGGCCGTGCCGCGCACAGGACTACCGATCGACGGGTCAAAGGGCGCGTGCGTCGCCGCTTCGTACGCCATGGCGACGACCCGATCGCCCGCGTAGTTGAAGGCTCCGGCGCGCATCCCGGGGAGCGTCCAGCGCGGTGTGTCCATACGCCCGAGGTCCCAGAGCCCGATCGTCGCCTGTACGTACTGCGAGAGCCTACACACCTCGTGACGCATCGTTCTCTTGGCATGATCTTACCGCGACGTGCCCGTGAGGATCAGCGGGTTCGCATGCGAGAAGGCGAGTCGCGTGTGCTCGTTGGTCGCGATGCTCGTGAGAGGACCCGCGTTCGGGTGGCACTGCCAGCGCCCGACGACCGCGTCCTGCTCCAAGTTGACGTACACGAGCTCGCCTTGGTCCGTCCCCAGTACAATATGGCGGTCGCGCGGCACCGAGAGAAACGTGGCCGCCGTGAGCCCGCCCGTCACATCCGTGCCGTGACCTACGGCTGCCTGAGCGCTTTTCGCAATCAAATATACGTACTAACGACGCGGAAGGCGCGGTGGCGACCATACGCAAAGCGCGTCATGCCCGTGTCGACGCGATGCGTACTGCCGAGTGCGCTCCGGACGACGAGGCTGTTGCTAATGTTGGTGTACGCTGGCGCCGACAAGGCCACGTCCGGGCACTCGTGCGGCGTCGACGACGCGAGCGAGAATGGCGGTACAATTGCGACCGGGTTCGGACACTGCCGGTGCTGCTCGCGGCAGTACTGGCGCACGACATTGTCAAGCCACGTTGTCGTCTTGACGTCGCGCTTGACCGCCTTCTTCTTGACGTCCGCTTGAGGCTTCTCAAAGTAATGCGGCGCCGTGAGCTGCCGGGCCACGTGTTTCTTGCGCTGTGCAAACGACAGCACGCGCCCGAGCTTCACGTCCGCCTTGGCGCGCTTGCTCGGACGCGGCGACGTGCTTGGCGAGAGAAGCGCGTCGTCGTTCGTCGACGACTTGGTGCGTCGCAACGCTTGGGGCTTGTGCGGACTCCCGGGGCCCGACGACGCGTGTTGCTTGAGCTGCGCTTCGGTCTCGAGCGCGTCCGCGGCGGCGGTCAGCCCGTGAGCCTTGAGATGGTCGTGGATCAACAGCAGGAGGTCGTTCGGGTTGTACGTAATGTGGGTGGCCGCGACAATATTCGCCTTCTCAATCTTGCGCACGGTCGGGTCGGTCGCTTCGTGGATCGCAGAGCTCGGTACGCGGTGCGTCACGTGCGAGATGAGCTCGAGCGCGACATCCTTGAAGCGCAGATGAATGTCGGCGTTCTCTTCGAGCACAGGGTCGTGCCGGATCAAGTCGGACAAGAGTTGGCCTACAATCTCAATCTCAATCTCGAAAACGCAACCTCAACAGAAAAAATACGAGCGCACCGATCTGCATTTGCTCGAGGATCTGGGCCACGTGACGGTCGCGCGAGAGCCCGAGCAGCGCGCGTGCCGCCAAGAACCGGACGCTGTCGGCGTGTTGCAGCGACCGCTTGTACCGAAGCAGCGAGAGACAGACCTTGAGCGCGCTCTTGTCGCGTGCGAGCTTGAGAATGCTCTTGACCGCCGCCGACTCGTGGGTGTCTGTTGGCTTGGCCTTGATGGGCGGGTAGACGCAGTTGCCGAGCACGTGGAGGGCGTCGCGGACGATGTCGCCGTCCCGGAAATGTGTGCTCATCGCGCACTCGAGCACGATCGAGAGCCCGCTCTTGCGTCCGTCGGCGAGCGTCGTCGCACAAACGTCCGGCGCGATCAGCGGGTGCACCAGCGTGAGGAGCCGCAGCGCCTGGAGCGAAAACTGCGCGCGTTCGACGAGCCAGACACGGTACGAGGTCGGTTCTTGGTCGAGGTCCCGCGACGACTGCTTGCAAAACACGTTGAGCACTTCGAGCAGCACGAGCGGCGCCCGCAGATGCATGAGGCCGAGCACCCATTTCGTGTCCTTCAAGCCTTTGCCGTGCTTCTCAAAGAGGAGGACTTGGGTCTCATGGCTCTTGTCGTCAATGTCGATCGGCTTGTACGGCGAGAGCTTGGGCATGCGGCTGTTGGGGCCGTGGAGCTTGCGCCGCAGCGCGTAGACCAGGAGTCCAAAGTGCACGCGGACGTACTGTCGCAAGCAGAGACACGCGTCGTGCGCAAGCTGGCGCTGCACCGCGTTCTTGGGCGCGTTCCCCGATCGAATGAGGTTGAGAAGGATGTAGACGCCGTCGTTGGCTTCGAAAAACTCGAGCGCCGACCGGAACGGCAGCACGAGCCCGAAGAAGACGACCGCGTTCTGGCGCGCCTTCTCGTGCGGGCTCCCGAGTAGCGTGAGCGCCATGAGCAGGAGCGCGCTGCGGTCGGTCTCGCGCCGGAAGATCGTCTCCATGACGACCGACGACGATGCAAAGCCGTGCAGACACATGCTCATCGACCGGTGGAGGAGCGCAACCTCGTCCGGTCGCTGGCGGCCGAGCACGAGCTGGAGACCGCCCGCATCGAGAAACGAAAATGCAAACTTCTTGTGGGCCAGAAAGTGGGACGTGAGCTTGAGCGTCGCCGACCACAGCGTCGGGTGCTGGCTATGGAGAAAGGTAAGGATCGTGCCGAGCACGTCTTCCTTGAGCGCCGGCGCGAGGAGCTCGAGGTACTCGCCCATGAGACCAAGGCACTCGAGGCAGTAAAGCAGATCGAGGAGCAAGAGCTGCTTTGGTGGCTCTTCATGGCGCCGTGCAATGTCTTCGGGCGTCATGGACAGCGTGTCGTCCTGGAGTCCGTGCACGAGTCGGTCCGGAATGTCCGACCCGGCGAGCGACGTCGACGATGTGCTCTGGTCGTCGAGCGATGTCTTGTCGATCGAGAGCTTGCGCCGCTTGGCCGCGGTCGGCGTACTCGCGCTGCTCGGCTTTTTGCTGTTCTTTACGAGCTTTTTCTGCTGCATTGCTTGCATGTACTCGAGCGCCATCGCCCGCTCGTTCTCGAGCGCCATGGCGTAGTAGCGCGACCGCCGCAGCAAGCTCACGGGCAGCGTCGCGTGGTTGACGACCGTGTCGGCGATCGACCGGTCGCGGAGGCCCACCGAGAGAAGCCCGGCCGCGTAGCACTGCAGTTGGAGCCCATGCGGCGGGAGTGGCCCGGGCGCGCCCTCGGCCCAGCGACAAACGCGCTCGAGAACGTCTTCTTCATAGAGTGTGCGCACGATCAAGCGCGTGTGGACAGGCGACGTTGCGAGGAAGAGCCGGCAGACGGCTGCGTTCATGCGCTCGTTCCGGACGCGGTCGGCCGCGTCGCCCTGGAGCTTGCGCTCGAGCATCGTGTAAAAGTCCTCAAAGTCGTCGAGGATGCGGAAGAGGTGGCCGACGAGGTGGCCGTCGCGGCGTCCAGGGCTCGGCTGCGTCTGGCGGAACGCGGCCTCGGCCTTCTCGAGCACTTCGGCCAGCCAGTTCATCTTGCGGATGCGCTCGGGCTCGTCGACCTCGGGCGAGAGCAGCTCTGAGACGAGCTGGAAGGTCTGCACCTCGATCGGGTCCACGTTGTGGATCGTCGCTTCGGTCGACGAGTCGAAGGCTAGCGCGTCGCTGCTGCTCTCGTCGTCCGCCATGAAAGATCGAATTTAAACGACAACCAATTATAATATTTCTCGAATTTGCCAGGAATATGCCGCAACAGGTGGGACGAGGACCACCACGCGCTGGAGCCTGGCGCCGACGAGGCCGCTAGGACGACGGGCGCGCTGGACGTGGGACGCGGCGCGTTGCCGCCCGCATCATCCAGTGCATGGCTACGAACAGGCGGTGCCATACAGGCGGCCACCGACAGCTCCACCGACAATACGTAGGCACGTACGCCGGAGACTGCAAGGTCAAGCGTCATCGGTGCTGCTATCGCACGCCATGGCACGCTCCTTGCGCTAACAAGTCTGTGCGCACGGCGAGCGGGCGCGACGGCAGTGCTAGCGTGGGTAGCGCCGCGAACGACGGCCGCCGTTGCCACGAGCCGACACACGTCACGCCATCCGCGTACTAGTGGCTTCTCCTGGTCGCAAAGCACACGGTCTACTGTGCTCGCAGCTTCGCATCGCAGCGCGTCAAACTTTCGACTGGAATGGCCATGTTGCAGCGGAGGAAGGCTCGCGAAGTCGACAGCGCTGTCATGCGTGCCTGTTCACGCACGCTCGATGCAACGCGGCGCCGCTGCACGAGGCCATGCGATGCAGCATGGTGTCGCCACTACGCTCGCCGTGCACTGACGTGGCGGGCGGGCCAGCGTCCGCGGCGATCTTGGCAGCGTCCAAGTTGCGTGTCATTAGCCTACCGAATCGGCGCTTCTGATTGGTCGATTTTGTCGAGTCCACAGGAATGCCAATCGTTCGTTTCCCTTCACTCGAGCAGCAGCATGCTTCCGCGCCGCGCCGCCTCGCCGCTCCTCCGCCGATGCTTCTCGACGCAGCAGAAGGCGACGACGCACTTTGGCTTCCAGCAGGTCGACGAGCAGGACAAGAAGCCGATGGTCGCCGGCGTCTTCCACAGCGTCGCCGACAGGTATGCTGCAACATCGATGCGCAGACGCATTCATCGCCGTGGGTAGCTACGATATGATGAACGACGCCATGAGCGGTGGCATGCACCGCCTCTGGAAAGACGAGTTTGTCAACATGCTCGGCCCGCTCCCGCACAAGACGGGTACGCATCCTGGATACCGACGCACGCAGCCGCATGGCCGGATGATGTAGGCGAGCCGCTGCGCATCCTCGACGTGGCCGGTGGCACCGGCGACATTGCGTTCCGCATGGCCGAGCGCTTGACCAAGGGCGGTTTGCCGTCGAGCGCGACGCCCGAAGAGCTGGCGTCGGGCCGCACCGACATTGTGGTCTGCGACATCAACCCGTCCATGCTCCGCGTCGGCGAAGAGCGCGCGACGGCGCGTGGCATTGGCCTTCCGGGCGCGCGCCCGTCCTTTTCGTGGGTCCAAGGTGACGCTGAGCAGCTCCAGTTCGAGTCCGACTCGTTTGACGTCTACACGATCGCGTTCGGCATCCGCAACGTCACGCACGTCGACGTACGTTGGTCATGCATCCTGCAGATAGCTCATGTACGATGCAATAGAAAGCCCTCGCGGAAGCCCACCGCGTGCTTCGCAAGGGCGGTCGCTTCATGTGTCTTGAGTTTAGCCAAGTGCGCAACCCGCTCCTGCGTGCGTTCTACGACCAAGTACGATCCTCTCACACATCTCGGTGCCTCATGTACTGGTGCAGTACTCGTTCAACATGATCCCGGCCATGGGCGAGCTCCTTGCGAAGGACCGTGCGTCGTACCAGGTACATCTAGCTTTCTGCATTCGTATCTCCAAATGTGTTCTAGTATTTGGTCGAATCGATTCGCCAGTTTCCTGTCCAGGACGACTTCAAGACGATGATTGAGACTGCCGGCTTCTCCAAGGTGTCGTACACCAACTTTATGGACGGTGTTGTCGCCGTCCACTCGGGCTTCAAGCTCTAATATCGGTCGGAACCATTTTACCGATTTAACCTCATTAGAAAGTGTCCTTTTGGCGTTAGACAACTTTTCCATCGCGCACTTTGTCTTGTAGAAGCGAGCGGTTGTGCAGCGCGTACGCATTCGTGGGCTCGAGCGACAGGACGGACGTGTAGTCGGCGATGCTCTGCGCGTACCGCCCCATCTTGGCGTACGAGTACGCGCGGTTGCTCAGCGTGCGCGTGCTTGTCGGGTCCAGTTGCAGCGCTACGTCACAATAGACTCTTCACACAAAACCACGAGAAGGATGACGTACCGGCCGAGTAGTCGTCGACGGCGGCCTCGAACCGCCCTTGCTTGCGCCGTGCGTAGCCTCGGTTGTTGTAGGCTGCGACGTTGGTCGGTTCGATCGCTAGCGCCGCCGAGTAGTCGGCAATTGCCTTCTCAAAGTGGCCGAGGTTGCGGTAGCAGTAGCCGCGGTTGTGCAAGAAGATCGGGTTTCTTGGCTCGAGCCGCAGCGCCGTGTCAAAGTCGGTCAACGCCTGCGCGTGCTTCCCCTAACCCCGTTCGACGTTTTAGCCGAACGCGTCCGTAGCCGATCACCTGCTGGTCGAACGCGAGGCCGCGGCTGTTGTAGCTCGAGGCCGCGTGCGGCACGAGTGCGATGGCTTGGTTAAAGTCGGCGATCGCGTCGGGCAGCCGCTTCATCTACCATCGACGTTGGGTCAACGACCGTTGACACCAAAAATGCAGCTACCTTCTCCCACGTACTGCCCCGGTTGTGGTAGGCGTTGGCGCTCTTTGGGTCGATCCGCAGCGCTGCTGTATAGTCCAGAACCGCCGCTTCAAACTGCTCCATCTTGTCGTACGAAAATGCGCGGTTATACAGCGCTTTAAAGTGGGTCGGGTGCAGCTGGATCGCGGCCGTGTAGTCGCGCACGGCCAAGTCAAACCGCCCCTATTGTAGAAAGAGACCTGTCATGTGCACAAGATTGGCCTCAAATATCTACTTGTTTGCGGTGGCAAAACCCGCGGTTGTGGTAGAAATCGGCGTTTGTCGGGAGGAGCGCAATGGCTTTGGTGAAATCACGGACCGCGCCAGTATAATTGCCACTCCTAAATCGTGCTTGAGACGACGACAACTGCAAAGTGAGATGGAAAACCGGTCGAGGGAGATGCCACGGTTGTAGTAGGCAAACGCGTTGGTCGGGTCGAGGCAAATCGCTGTCGAGTAGTCGGCGACCGCGAGTTCAAATTGCCGCAGTTTGTCGTACGCAAACCCCCGGTTGAAGTGGGCTTTGAAGTGGCTACCATCCCCTTGTGATCTCCCAAGGGTCAAGGCATTGGACGTACGCAGGGTTGGCCGCAATCGCGCGCGAGTACTCTTGGACTGCGAGCTCAAACTGGCCTTCTTTCCGAAAGGCAAACCCCCGGACGTGGTGCGCTTCGGCGTCGTCGTCGGTCGTCGTTGCCTCATGCGTCACGCTCTCGGACGGTACTGCGTCATGACCGACGGCTTCGGATAGGATAGAGACATCGCGCGGCGCTAGGATAATCCTATTGGAGAAATGGATACTTGGATTCATGTCGTACTCGACGATGCGATTTGCTGCTTGCGCTGCGTCATCTTGTCGAGAAGCTCCTTCTCGCGCAATTTTGCGTACGCTTCGATGCCAAGCACCATGCTGCTGCTCGCGTGCTTGGTCATCCCGTGGACATTAGTAGTGTTGTTGTTGTTGTTGATGGTCGTGGTATGGAGGTTGCCAGTGAGTGCGGTCGGGTGGGGTGCGGACTTGGTTTTGGCCTTGCCCTTGGCCTTGGCGCACTGCTGGTCCTTCATCAGTGCAAAGTTGTAGTCTTCGATCGCGCGGGAAAAGTCGCCTTGCTTGTTGAACGACGACGCGCTACAGAGCGCTTGTGTGCGGTCGAGATGGAGGCGCAACGTACCGCGCGTACGCCGCGTTGACGTGGTTTGGGTTGAGCTGCAGCGCGTGTGTGAAGTCGTCGATCGCCCGCTGCGGCTCGTTCAGGTTGCTCCACGCCAGCCCTCGGCTACGAACGTCATAAACCCTCGTCTCGGTCCTCGCTTACTTGTAGTAGCTGTTGGCGTCGTACGGTGCCAGTTGCAGCGCCTTGCTAAAATCGCTCACGGCCGCGGCCCACTCCTACAGCCATATCGATTAATGACAAACAGGAAGCGAGGACGCACCGTCTTCTTCATGTGCGACGCGCCGCGCACCGCAAACGTCGTCGCGTCGGTCGGGTCGGCCGCCAGCTTTTTTGTGCACGAGTCAATGACCTTTTCCAAGTCGGATTCCTTCCGGTAGTAGTACGTTCGGTTTGGGTGGCTCTTGGCGGCCTCGTCCGTCGCCAAAAAGTCCTTGCGCTTGAAGAGCACCACCTCGGTCGCGTCCTGCGGCTCGACCATTGCAACCGCCGCCAAGTTAACTATATTTAGTCGGTAACAACTCGACATTTACGCTGGACTTGCTACGAAAAAAGGCGTCCGTGCGATGTTGCTGCCGGCTTCTTGCTGCTGCGTAGCGATTACTTGGTCGCAAAACCATCTCGAAGAGCTTCGCCCGCATTGTATCAGGCAGCAGTGCACCAAGAGAGCGCTACCCTCTCCAGTGCTCCCGTCCAGCGAGACCGGCCATCAGATGACCGTGGCGCCAACTTTGACAACAGGAGATCGCGAGGTCACTCGTAGAGACTCGCAGTTGGTGGACGGTATGACGCGCAGTTGGTGGACGGTACCATCGTCTCCAATGCGAGTCGCTCTTTGGTATATTCTAGGTAGCTATCTAGGTGCTGGCGGCGCGGCGCCTCTGCCGTGTCGATGGCGGAGGCTGTGACGTGGCAGGAGGCGGGCGGTGGCGATATATCCGGATTACGGGTTCATCATCCGGATGCGGCAAGTGATCGAACGAACGAACGTGCGTCGCAGTTCTGGATATCGAAGTTGCACGACGAAGATGAAGGCAGCGCTGTGGTCGACGCTGGCGTTGGCGCCGATTGCGATGGCCTTCGACCCGCCGCCGCCCGCCGGCGTCTCGCACGTGCTCTCGTTCGCGAGCCACAACCCGCTCGACGCGTATGACAAGGAGTGGAAGGAGCCCAACACGGACGTGACGCTCTTCCCCGAGACGCAAAACATCCCGCTGGACCCGGCGCTTCGCCACCTGCAGCCGCCGCCGCCGCGCATCCCCGCCACGTACGACATCTTTGTGGGCCTCTCGGCCTTCCGCGACGGTGCCCGCTGCGGCTACACGGTTTTTACCGGGTTCAAGCGCTCGAGCAATCCCGCCGGGCTGTACTTTGGCATTGTCGACCAAGTCAACCCGGAAGATGCGTCGTGCCTGGACGAGTACTGCAAACTCGCGGCGGACGAATGGCTGGACGAGCCGTGCAAGTACAAGAGCCACATCAAGATCGATAAGCGGTCGGCCAACGACTCACGCGGCCCGACGCTGGCGCGGTCGCAGCAACAGGCCCTCATCGACGACGAAGAGTTTTGCCTCCAGCTCGATGCCCACAGCATCTTTACCAACGACTGGGACCTCGGCGTCGTCGAGGACTGGCGCACGCTCAACAACGAGATGGGTGTCCTCACGACCTACTTGCACAACCTCCACGACTTCATCTTGCCCGACGGGTCGAACAAAGGTACCACCAATCCATCTCATGCTCTCTTCCTCATCTCCCATCTTCGTAGCGCCACAGCATTTGCCGCACATTTGCCAGACGATGCGAGGCGGGAACGGGCTCGTGCGCAACATTGGCGCCGACCTCATTCTGCAGCCAAAGTACCCGCAGATGACAGCGCTCTGGGGCGCGGGCTTCTCGTTCAGCAAGTGCCACGCCGAGAAGCGCGCGCCGATCGACTCGCACACGCTGTGGATGTTTGACGGCGAAGAGTTCCTGCGCGCGTCGCACCTCTGGACCCACGGGTATGACCTCTACTCGCCGTCGCGCACCGGGTGCGTCATCTACCACAACTACACGAGCGTGCCTGCGCGCTTCGAGTACGTCCAAGTCGACGAGGCGAAGCGCAAGGAAGAGCGGGAGATGGGCGAAAACCGCTTCAAGTTGCTCGTCGACTGGCCGTTCAAAGGCCCCGTCGACACGTTTGAGCTCGACAAGTACGGCTGGGGCAAAGCGCGGTCGCTGCAAATGTACCTCAACTTCTCGGGCATTACGTTTGAAGACGGCAAGCGCGACGAGCACTCGTGCAAGCAGCTGCACTGGGTGCCGTACACCGACCCGTCCCCGATTGAAGCGCTCTTGCCTGGGTGGCACCTCGAGCTGCCGACCCAAGCCGCCAACCAAGTGCTGCGCGGCAAGACGCTCACCGGCGCGCACGTCCAAGGTGACGCGTCGTCGTCGGCGGCCGGCGCGTTTGTGTTTGTGCTGCTTGCCGTGGCCGTTGTCGGCTACACGCGCTATGTCAAGCGAGCGCCGACCGTCGACGCCAAGGAAACGTAGCGTGTCGATAGGCTAACTTTATAGGAACGACAATATGTGGTCTTATAGTGGTCTTATAGTGGTCTTAGCTCGGTGGTCTTGGCAGTGGCTCTATGTGCATCTTCTTTCGGATGCAACGCCTATTCCCAATTTTCCCGAATCGTCTGTGCACTCGATGGCCGCTTCGCTACTTCCGCGCAGTCCAACGGCGCATGCGCTCGGGGTGGGGCGATGGCGATCTTCGATCGCCGAAGCGCGAGTCTAAAGGCACCCAACTCGGGCAAGCCATCATGCCCATCCCCGCAGCGTCGCCAGCGCCAGCTGAAGGCCCACATGACATTGCGGCGCTGGCGACTTGGGCGTCGTCGTCGGTGGATTGGCCGCCGCCACGAAATCGAACCTGGCTTTTTTGACGGCAACAATATCTCATTTTCCCTAAAATATGTTTCCCTCTTTCTGTTGTTTGCCTCTCAGCGAGCTCTCTCAGTGTACTGGGCCTTGGCTCTCCCAGCGTCCATGGCCTCTCTGCCTCGTCACATGTTGCGCCGCCCACGCTTCAATACACTGGACGTGTGGGGACCCACCGAGCAACTCTCCGTACAAAAGATTAGGGAATCGCGGGCACGACGACGTTGCTGCTCGTTGAGATGACGCGAATACGAGCCTCGTATATTGATGGAGGAGGATCTTCCCGGCAAGCCCGCCGCACGCATGTCATGTGTACTGTAGTAGGAGGTTCACATCTCGCTTCTTGGATGAGGTCGAGACGCTCGGGTGAGAGACTTTGGTTCGGACCAAGCTTGCGACCATGACGTCGCCATGATGCAAAATGCAAAAATCCATTATCCAACTTCAAGATATATCAACCGGATGCAACCTTATCAAGTGCAGTTAAGGGTATATCCGACTGGAGAATGTAACCGTGAGCATCCTTTAAAAGCGTGTGGATGATTATATTCCAAAAAAATGTCGCAATGAGAGAGTATCTCGATGCGGATTGGGTGAAACGCGCAACATTTTTCAAGTTGCTTTGAGCCCGATGACGCAGGTCGCCCGATGGCTTATGGCGCTGGCCGCGGTCGCCGAGAGCTTGGTCTCGATCCCGCTCCTGCGCGAGCACGCCCGAGCGCTCACGGCGAGCAGCACCATCTTTGAGCAGCGCGTGGGCGAGAGCCGAGGGTACGCGGCAGTCCTGTCTTCCCACGTCGTGTGACGCTCCGCTCCTATTAGTGTCCGCCACGCAGCGTTGTACTTGGGTGTCCCGCCGCAGCGCGCGCTCGTGGTCATTGACACGGCAAGCGACTGGACAGCGGTCGTTGCAAACTCGTACTGCTGCCAGTATTGACTCCATGTACAACATCGTCTTCGTTGTACTAGCTGCAAGACGTGTGGCAACCACACGGATCCTGGCTACGACGCGGCCAAGTCGACAGCCGCCGCGTACGACAACTGCACGTCCTTTAGCCAGTGCTTCCTCTGCGACTCGGCGCGCGCCGCGTGCGAGGTCCAACGGGTACGACGCGCGTGCCACTTATTCGTCATCGTATCCCGCAATCGTCATTCGGTAGTCCTACGTCGACGGCAGTGGCTGGGCCGGCGCGGTGGTCACCGACCTTGCCTACATTGGGCGCTTTGACGGCGAGTCGTCGGGTGAGATTATGCGCACGAACGGTGTGCGCCTGACGGTGGCCGCCCAGCTCAGCGCCAGCGGTACCATCTCGCTTGCCGACGCGCGGCTCAGGACAGATGCTAGGACCGATCGTGACCATGGCGGAGAACGGGATCATTGGCTTTTCGAAAGCATCGACGACGTTCCTTGCGGCGCTTGTGGCGCAACAGCGCATCCAGCGCAACGCCTTTAGCCTCTGCTTCTCGGCGTCGGGCGGCACCCTCGTGCTCGGTGGCAGCGACCCGTCGCTCTTCGCACCCCAATCGGCCGCCACCGGCACTGTCGCCATGCTGAGCTCGACCAAGTACCTCATTCCGCTCGTCGACGTCCTCGTCGGCAGCACGTCCACCGCGGCGACGTCGTCCATCAACAGCGCGTACGGCGTCCATGGTCTCGATCGTCCATGTCAAATCGCATGGATCTAGGGGCCTGAGCACGCTCGTCGACAGCGGGTCGTCGCACTCGTACCTACCCAACGCAGTGCGCGCGGCGTTCCTCGAGGCCTTTGCCGCTGCCACCAACACGGTCTTCTCGGACACTACGTCCTATTCGCCCGACCAAGTCGCAAGCTGGCCCACCCTCACGCTGGTGTTTGCCGGAACAGCAACGCGCGTCCAGCTCGAGCTATCGCCGGCCAAGTACACCTTTCTGACGGCCAATGGTCAGTACAAGCTGGGTCTGCACTTTGCGGCGAGCGGAGGTAGGTGGAGGTGCGCATGATGATGCGACTCGGATCTGCGTCTAGTGGTCGGCGCCAACGCCATGGTCGACGTCAATGTACTCTTTGATCTGGACGCGCAGCAGGTCGGCTTTACGCGCGCCAACTGCACGCTCACAACCGAGACCAGTACGTCATCTCTCGTCTCCTGTACGAGGCAGACGCTCATGGGCGAGATAGCGTCCGTGCTCACGCGGGCCATCACGCCAGCACCGTCGTCGAGCGGCGTCCCGTCGTGGCGCGCGTGTCGACTCGTCCTCGCTGTTTGCGTCCTCTTCTCAACTCTGTAAACGTATATCATCACCAGCACTACACCTATATGAACTCCGAGTCGACGCGACGCTCTGACGATAACGAAGCTGCGGTCTGGTGCGCGGCAATGGCCTTGGCGACCGCCATGCGCAACGCCACTTCGAACCGCTTGCCCTTGTCCATGAGCGCTACCATCGTCGTCGACGGCGGTGTCTCGACCAGCGGTGATGATCCCGACTCGGCGAGATGGCCAAAGGCGAATGCTTCGATCCCACGCGTGACCGTCTCGATTGACGTACAGCCCGCGACGACCGAGAGGACGAACGAGAGCCGACACGTCTCGTGCGTCATCGCCGCCACCACAAGCCTACGTCGTAGCTGAGACGACGATGCGAAGGTGCTCGTGTACCAGCCACACTCGTCCTCGACACTGCCTTGGGTCATGTGCGGCATGCGCTCGTCCTGGAGCACAGTGCGCCACACGACGACATCGCGATCCTCTTCTCGGAAGCGCTTGGTGATCCGGTTCGAGTACGCAACAGTTGTGGCATTTGCGATCGGACGGGCAAACGTCTCGTAGTTGGTCGCGTCGTCGATGATCTCCAGGTGCTACGAGACGGCATAGAAGGCGCGCTGAGGCATCGCGCAGTGCTACCTGCGTCGCATCGACGGGGCAGGAGGCAGCGTTGGCCCCGTTGAAGACACTCCAGACCGCTTCGCCGACGGCCTCATACGGCGCGGGCAGCACAAAGTCGTAAATGTACTCGACGACAAGCGTTCCATTCGGCTGCGGTGTCGGCGTGATGCGCACGAGCTTGGCGGCGTCCGCCGGGCGGTCGAGCAGTCCCAGCCGTAAAAACGTGCTGCGGAGACGATGGTACTGCCGGTCGGCAATCGCGTGGATCGCACTGATGCGGAGCGACGCCTGCGCAGCCAGTGTGTAGGCCTTCCACGCTTCGGACGACGGATCGCGCAGCAGCTACGTGCCGTCAGATGACGCAACGGCGCGACAGAGTGTACCTCAAGCCGGGGCTTCTTGCGAAGCAGGCGCTGCATGGTCTCGATGAACGTATCTTGATGCGCCACGGCGGCCTTGAGCTGCTCGTTCTCGTGCAGCACGGCGGCTTTGGCCTGCCGCTCTTCCTTTGCAATCGCTTCCCAGCGCGACGGCGTCGGGGCGGGGCGGCCGCGGCGTGTCTTTGCCATCTCGCCTTGCAACAGCCGCACTTCGTCGCGCAGTGCGAGGATCTCTTGCCGCTGCCTGTGCTGGAAGCGGTTCTTGGGCTTCCGCGGTAGCGGCTCGTCGTCGCTCGGAGGGGCCTCCTTGCGCTTGGCGCTGGACGCGGCGCTCTGTTCGCTGTCGCTGGACGAGCCTTCGAGAATCGCGCAGAGATGCGAGAGATCCTGCGTGAGCTGCGCATCGTTCGCGATGAGGAACTGGATGTCATGGAGGAAGGTCTCGTCCGCCCCGCTCCCTGCCATGGCCACAGCGTCGCTATTTGCCGAGCCGACTAGCCGGTTCAGATTAACTGTAAATGTCCTAACCGGTTCTATATCCGGCTCATGTGGTCTATGACGTGGCACAACGAGACGGTACAAATAGCCGACTCGGTCTCGGTGGCGACAGGGTGGCGATAAGAATCGGAATCACGCGCCGTCCGATAGTGCTCTACCTCGTCTTGTGCAATGACATGACTGGGCCAGTTACCTATGATCTGGTTCGAAGGTGAGAGATCTGTCTGGAGCCCGAGAAAGCCGCCTTATCACCCAAATTTCGTGTATATCGTCAAATAGAGGAAAGTTGTGTGCAATACAATACGGTGGCGCTCCACATGCTAAAATCTTACTGAATATTTGCTTTGAAATTATTTCCGAATAGGCCATTTTCAGAGGCGAACCGTGCCAGTGCAATTATTTGAAGGACCTCTTAAACTACTACTCTAAACAGGCTTTCTCATAGCGTCGAGACCCCGCAGAAGCACTCGTTGTACGGTACACTATCGTTTGATTCGTTGCGCGACGGATGTTGCAGTCGGTTGCACAGCAGAATGAAGCTATTTTCTGGCAATCGGTTGCAAAACAGAATTGCGTGGCTTTTTCTGTGGACCAATCACAGTCCAAGAACAAAATCGTCGCCCCTGGGTTTGCTGGTGCACTTTGGCTGACCCTGCAACCTTACTATTGAACGTTGGCACAAGAAGCCTTCGTGCAGCATGCACCAAACACCAAATGTCGAAGCGTGTCGTTTTGCCCTGACCCCGCACCAGTGGACTACGTGACGCTGACCCCGTTTCTCAACAATTCGTCTTGGCCATCGACGCATACTAGTGCAGAGCGAAATAATAACTTCACCCAAAACGTGGTATTGCATCGAGTTGGTCGCGACAAGACGGCCGGGATCCGCCACATCCATACAAAGACAAAGACCAGTCAAAAGGGGAAGGTGCTCTTCATCCTTTACACCTGCTGCCTTTTCCACGCACTCTGTATTTTGCTAGTACGTCCGTAGTACCACCACCACCAACACCATGCTTTGGCTGCCAACACCTGTTCTCGTCCTCCTTCTGGTGCTGGGCTTTGCCGCCGCCGACGACGCGTGCCATCTTCCACACGATCTGCACCTCAACCCGACCGGCGCCGCGACGCTCTCCCACGGCCAGGTCGAGTACATCTTTGGCCAGCCCCAGTTGCCAGGCGCCATCTACCGAACGTGCGTGCACGGTGCGATCACTTGCTTCGAAGACGATGGCAACGCCGACGGCGACGAGGACGACCCCGTGAGCTGCCACAAGGCGGACGCCAAGCGCCGACTGGGCCTTGCGACTCAGCACAAGCACCTTTTCTGGCCTCTCGCAACCCTCTGCTATCAGATCGAAAGTCCCTTTACGCCCACCGAGCTCAACTTGATCCAGGACGCGATGCATGCCATTGTCGAGCCCACCGGTGTCTCGATGCTGACGCTCGACGAGTGCAAGGCGTCGCCACGAGCGCCCGATCTCTGTGGTGGCTGCCAACACTACGTGTCGATCCACCAGCGCCCGCACCGCCGCGGCACGTACGCGGCGGTGGGGTACCTCCAGAGAGCGGGCCAAGACATCAACTTGAAGCCGAGCGCCTTCAAGCATGGGAGCGGCACCATCATGCATGAGATGCTCCACGCCCTTGGTGTCTCGCACGAGCACGTGCACCCGGCGTCCGAGGCGATCGTCTTGCGCGGGCACAAGCTGGCGGCGTCGCGCAACAACTATGTGCTGCGCCGAGAGGCTTTTGTGACGCAGTACGACAAGCACTCGATCATGCACTATGGCCACGGCGTCTGTCTGCCCAAGAACAAGAGTCTCAAGTACTGCAGCATCGAAGAGAACGAGAAGGATGGGTGTGTCGTCCCGACCGCCGACGACTGCGATAAAGAAGCGTCGCTCGTCCTTGGCCAGCGCGACGGTTTGAGCAACGGTGACGTTCGGACGCTCCAGGTTCTGTATGAGCTTCCGACGACCATGACACAACGCGACGCCTTGGGGGATCGCCCAATCCCAACTTAAACTACTGCTTTGTAGTATATGCACATTCAATAAGCCTGTGACAATACTGGATCATTTTCAATGGCCCTCTACAAGTCGCTAGTGATGGACAGAGGTTCAGCTGCTGATTTGCGGCATCGCTGCCCACTGGTGATAGTACTAGCGTGGTGGCGCACAGATGACCACATCGCACACGCTACCTCAGCTGGGGTTAGCCATGGCGCTTGGTAAAATTGAAGTGAAATGTGTGATGTGTACGACCAGAGGCAGAGTGGACGCTCGGCGCAGACGCAAAATCCCGATACGACCGTGAAACCTAACCCTTTATTTTGCTTGTACGACGGTTTGACTATACTTGGTCTTGCTAAACGGAGCCACCAAGAGCACCAAAAAGGTGTTTGTGTCGACCGCCCGCCGAGTAACTGGTTGCTCCTCGCTCCACCGAGTGCCTGACCGTTGAGACGTCATTTCGTAGAGCTTCGGTAGTTGTGGTCATCTCGAGATATCGTGAGCCTTCGCAACCTGCGCCTGCAGTGATCTCTTGGGTATCAACCCCTTTGATGAGCAATTTTCTTCCGCTGGGTCCAAGCTCGATTGCCCATAGCTCATACGCGTAATTTTGGCTGACAAAACTGTGCATAGAGTTTAGGGTTTGTCTAGAATCGTTTGTGCCATCTCAATCCCTCTAATTTGCCGAGTCGACGGGAACCGCAGATAGAGGCCACTCAATGTACCATGTTGAGTATAGTATAGTGGACACAAGGTTTTGATTGGATTGTAAACCGATTGGCCAATCAAAACGCGAGATAAAAAGGCAACTTCAAATCATTTTGAGCGACGACCGCCATGCGCCTCACTGCGACGCTCCTGAGCCTCGGCGCTGCAGTTCACGCCGTCAAGGTCTCGTCCGGCTGGCTGCCGTGCCCGCTTCGTACTGGCGCGTCGCTAACTCCCGACACCAACTACCACGTCGGCAACACGCGCTGCGCGACGCTCGATGTGCCTCTGTGCTACGACGGCGTCTGCACAAGCGACAAGACCATCTCGGTGTTTGTCAAGCACTACAAGGCGACCAAGCCGCCGGCGCATGGCTCGGCCCGCCAAGCACTCTGGTTTCTCCAGGGCGGCCCTGGCGCGTCCTCCATCGTGAGTACGTCGACCGCTCGTTCTGGCCACGTCTGACACAGATGGGTCTAGTGGAATCGTACGAGGCCTTCGCCGCCTTGTACTTCAACGGCACGGTGGACGTCTACACGATGGACCATCGCGGCACGGGCAAGAGCACGTACCTTGAGTGCGCCACCACCGAGGCCGCCGCCGTCGGTAGCCCCGGTGGTCAGACGATTGATCCGTCCGAGATGGCCGCTTGCATCGAGAACGTACGTCAGATCTACGGCAATGACACGGCCGCAGGCTGGTCGTCGACGAGCGCCGCCAAGGACGTCGCCAGTGCCATTGAAGTACTCACGCCTGACGCCGAGACGTACGTTTACGGTGTGAGCTACGGCACGCTCTGGGTGCGCCGCTTGATGCAACTCTCGCCGCCGACCGTCAAGGGCTACATATTGGACGGCATTGCAGGTCCCTTCTCATCGTGGAACCGGGATACGCTGACTGCAGGTATTTGAGTCGATTATAGTCGAAAAACGACTAGAGATCGTGCTGTCTAGTCGATCGCTTTTGGGAGCTGTGCGGTCAGGACAAGGTGTGCGCTAGCAAGCTTGGAAGTAACCCCAAGGCGACTGTCGAAGCGCTCTACGCAGCGCTCGACGACGGGACAAACTCTTGCGCTGAGCTCTTTGGGGCGTCGCCGACCCCGCCGTCGTGGACCGTACGTCAGCTGCTCCGGGCGCTTTTGCAAGCCGGCGTCGGCCAGCAAGAACTGATTCCGGCGCTCGTTTACCGCTTCCAGCGGTGCTCTTCGCACGACGTTCAGTGGTTTGCGGTCATGCTGGGTGGCGGCGAGGGTGCCGGCCCGATTCCTGCAGAGAGCGCCAACATGGTCGACCACGACGAGTCGGAGCTCTTGCACGACCTCGTGTCCAGCGCCGAGCTCTGGGAGACGCCGAGTCGCTCGGAGCTCCAAGCCGAGTTCCTCCACAGCACGATGGCGTTCGACCTTTCGCTGATGGAAGACAAGTACTGCGTCATCACGGGCGCCACCGACCCTGCGTGTACCCATGTTGCGCGGCCCAATACGACGTACACGTACACGCGCGACAAGTTTGCAAAGTTGAAGCCGACGCCGACGACGAACGCGTCAGTCATTCTCTTCTCGGGGCTCTTGGACGTGCAGACGCCGCATATGCACGCGACCGCGCTCTATGACGCGCTGGCGCTGAGCAATGCAACTAAAAAAGCGCTCTTCACGTTTCCGTACTCGGGGCACGGCGCCTTGACGCGGTCGATGACACCGGTATCGTTTGGCAAATCTCAAATGCACCGATCTCATGATGGACGATGTAGACAGACCCGTCGTGCGCGATGCGCTTGCTCCGCGACTTTGTGTTGCAGCGCGGCGACGTGAGCAAGATCGAACGCAGCTGCCTGAACGACCTCGTGCCCACCACGTTTGTCCTGAACGCCATGGACATTTACGAAGGCAAAGCGCCGGAAGACGAAGCGACGACACGCGAAGTCATCCCTGTCTACACTGTCGTCCGCGTCGTCGAGGTGCTCTTGGCGGGCAGCGGCCTCATCATCATCGCGCTCGTCGTTGCGATCGTCGTGCTTGCACTCAAGCTCCGCCGCGCCAGAAAAGCCCGCAACGGTGCTCTCTCGGAGGAGGCCCACCTCCTTTCCCACGGTCCGTAGCCGCCATGAGCCCTCGCAGGTTGGTAGGAGTTCACGTCCCTGGCGACGACGTCGGGAAATTCGCAACACGAGCAAACTTTGCTTCTTTTGATACGAGATGCGGCATGAGCACGGTATCATATATACCCCAGAGAGGAAGGCTTGGCGGTAGTTCTATTTAGCGCCGGACGAAAGAACAGTCGACTTGGTCGTCCGCTCCATTGAGGACGAGCTGCCACGTCACAGGTCCCAGGCCGACGTGGACGGGATGATGGGCAAGCTTATCCCACAATAAAGCTGCTGCCATGAGCAGTGCAGGTATGTACTCTACCTCCTTTTGCTCGCACCGAGTCTCTAGTTATTACGAGCCGCTCCTAGTCCAACAGCTCGCACCAGGAGCACCAGCAGCTCTCGTGTCGGTAAGGAAAACTGCGTTTCCATCCAGTGCTTCAACGTTGTATTTTATTTCGCTCGCATCCAGACGCGTGCATTTTTATTCCGACCATGCGCTCATAGATTTCAAATAGCTTGTTCATTGTATGCCATACAATGCCAAATGAGAATACATAAAAGATTTGTTTTAAAATGCACGACCCCGCTGAAAAAAATGCCACCGCGGTGGACCTTGACCAGCCAAAATGCACTTGCTAAAATTGCACTCGAGTTTGCAGTTTGTGAAAATGGCCGAGACGCGGACCGATGTGCTGGCCAAGCTGCCGCAGCTCCAGAACATGGTCAAGCGCGACCCGGATGCGTACAAGGATGAGTTCATGATGCAGTTCCGCCACTACCAGAGCGAGCTCGCCATCTTCCGCCTCCAGCCCAGCAAGGAGTCGGAACACTTTGGCGCGCTCGTCTCGTTCCTCTCGCACGTCGCAAAGTGCTACCCGGCCGAGCTCGCGTCGTTCCCCACCGACCTTATCTCGCTCCTCGAGAAGCACTCGAACGTCTTGGAGGCGACGCTCCGCAAGACGCTCGTCCAGTCGCTCATCCTCATGCGCAACCGCAACATTGTCGACGCGCTCGTTTTGCTCAAGCTCTTCTTTGAGCTCTTTCGGTGCCCGGACAAGCGCCTCCGCGAAATCCTCTACTCGCACATCGTGTACGATCTCAAGCGCATGCACAACGAAGGCGGCGGCCGCAACGACAAGGTCATGCGCGGCCTCCAGTCGTTCCTGTACGGTATGGTCTCGGACGACAATGAGATTGCAGCCATCAAGTCGCTCCACGTGCTCATCTCGCTCTACCGCAAGAAGATCTGGTGCGACGCACGGACGGTCAACTGCATCGCGTCGGCCTGCACGTCGCCGACGACGCGCGTCATGGTGACCGCGATCCAGTTCTTCCTTGGCATCGACACGGACATTCTCGAAGACGACGAGGCCGAGAAGGAAAAGGTCAAGGAGCAAGTCGAGGTCAACTACCATTCGCACTCGAAGAAGACCAAGAAGCGGTATGGATTTGGATGACACGATTGTCCGCATCTCATGGTATTCCTCTAGCCACAACGCGACCAAGTCGCAGCTCGTCAAGAACCGCAAGGCCCGCAACCGCGAGGCCGACAACCAGTACACGTTTCCGGCGCTGGATCTGCTCCACGATCCGCAGGGCGCGGCCGAGCGCCAGCTCAAGTTGCTCAAGGCTTCGAACGACCGGTTCGAAGTGCGCTTGCTCATGATGGACTTTATCGGGCGCCTTATCGGCCAGCACAAGCTCATTGTGCTGCCGTTCTACCCGCTCCTGCAGCGCTACTTGACGGCACACCAGCAAAACGTGACGCAGATCCTCGCGTACCTCGTGCAGGCGTGTCACGATGACATTCCGCCGGAGGAGATCATGCCGACCGTGCGCACGATTGCCAACTCGTTCATTGTCGAGCGCTGCTCGTCCGAGGTCATTGCCGTCGGCATCAACTCGGTGCGCGAGATCTTTGCCCGCATTCCTCTCGTCATGGAAGAAGAAGGCATGGACGCGCTGCTCCAGGACCTCATCATGTTCAACAAGAGCCGTGACAAGACGACCGTCATCGCGGCCCGCGGGGTCCTCAACCTCGTGCGCGAGCTCCACCCGAGCTTGCTCAAGCGCAAGGACCGCGGCAAGTTCCACGACGCCGCCGCGCGCCCCAAGGCCTTTGGTGAACTCCGCGCCCTTGAGGGTGTCGAGGGTGCCGAGCTTCTCATGCAGGCTGAGGCCGATGGTCGCTTTGACGAAGAAGACAACGAAGACGGCTGGGCGCTCGATGAAGAGGCCATGGATGCCGGTGAAGAGTCGGAGGACGGCTGGGTCAACCTTGAGGATGAAGACAGCGACGGGCTGCACTCGGACACTGAGTCGGAAGGCGAAGAGAACGAAGACGGCGAGGGCGAGGACGATGAAGACGAACCTATGGCGGCCGTGCCGCAGTCGCAGCGCATTGATGCGCAGCGTATTCTGACGCCCAAGGACTTCGAGCGCATTGAGATGCTCAAGAAGGAAGCCATCGAGGCGGCGAAGGACCCCAAGAGCCGCCGGAAGCGCAAGGCCGAGGACATTGAGAAGAAGGCGCTGGACGCCAACCACTCCAAGGTCGACCCGATGTCGCTCGAAGGCTACTCGAAGAAGAAGCGCCAGACGCAGGAGGAGCGTCTCCGGTCGGTGCTCGAAGGCCGCGAGAACTTTGCCCACCGCAAGAGCGGTGGCGGTACCACGAACCGCGAGAAGGCGCGTCTCAAGAACTTTCTCATGCTCAAGAAGAGTCGCAAGGTGCAGTCCAAGGTGCTCAAGTCGACGCGCGAGATCCAGCACATTGCCAACAAGACGGTCAAGACGGTCACGAAGCGCGACTCGAAGAAGCGGCGACGCACGTAAGTCGTCGGCGCCAACGATGCCAACGACAACTCTTAACATTTCTAAACATCATCAATATACTACTACAACTGCCACAGCTCTTGTCCCAGCCAACAAAAACGAGTCGACCGTGCAATGCACGCCGCACAGACGAGCCAATTTGATCAAGTGGTGTGTCCAGTCATGATACTCACGGTCTTTGGATATGGACTCGCGTAAGGAGTGGGACCGCATCTTCAAACCTCGCCTCGCCCAAAACGACGCATCGTACGCGTCTGGG